GGGACGACGGAGGAGGTGACGGGAGGAGGGGAGGACGAGATGCGTGAGAACGAAGCAACATAGGGTGAGAGTACTGGACACGAGACACAGGACGAGCACGAGAGGGACGACAAGACTAGAAGTGGGAAGGAGGCCTGGGGTCAGGAGATACGGGAGGAGAAGAACGCGGGGGAAAACGAGCTGGAAACGAATCCGGCGGAGGAAAAAAAGGGTCGTAGACAGCCGGGGGAGGCGCAGCAGAGCGGTCAGGGGAGGGAAGACCAAGGAGGCGAAGGGCGGACACTGGCAGCGACTGGTACTGCTGCTCCACACTGACACTAGGACCTCCAGCTGCACCACAGCTACCTCTGGGACGCTCCACGATAGCACCCCCGGATGGAGAACCCTCTCCAGCACCGGTGCCACCCACAGGACCGCCGGGGCAAGCCACGACAGTACCCCCAAGACTAGCACCCTCCTCAATGCCTGCACCCCCTTAGCTCACGAACCCCTGCGGCGGCTGCTGCTGTGACGGCGGTGGCGCCGTCTGCAGCAGCGGCGACGACGGCGGCTGCGGCGGCGGCAGCGACGGCATCGACTGCTACTACGGCTGCGGCGCAACGACGGCTGCTGTGGCGGCGGAGGAGGAGGAGACACGGGGCGAAATCAAAGCCACAAGGTCCCCTGAGTCTGCAAGGACGCAGCACGGGGTCCCGGGGGAACGTTGTTAGAGGGGCACCAGTGGCGGTCTCGGTACAAACCGCATACCGCTGGTATTCAGGGAACATAGTGGTGATGCTGAGGTCCTGAAGACAGCCGACACCAACTAGGTTCCTAGTGAACGAGGGGATGTGCACGCCTATAAGAGAGCTCAAAGAAACTGCCGGACAGGGAAGGGTACTGGAGCTACGGGCAACTACTGGACTGGAGGAGCGGTAAGCAAGCGCTACTGCGGTAGGGACAGCAAGCGACGTGAGCGCAGTGTGGTCGCGAAAGAAGCAGGTGGACGCATTAGAGTCTATCGTGAACGAGAGCGCGGCGGTAGCAGCTGCAGGTGGAGGAGCTAGGGTGGAGCCAAGGCTAAACAAGGCAGGTGGTCCTATGCCTGACGCAGCAGGGGAACCTACACTACACACATGGGACACACCTACACTAGGCAACACCGGGTTACAGGGTCCAGTCACACTAGAGTCATTAGCATACATGACATACAGAGCAGACCTAATCTGATCCATGTCAAGCTAAAAAATAGGGACACGTCGACGCACCAGGCTGTACCAGTCGGGGGGGTCGGACGCGTGGCCGAAGCGGAGACGGAAGAGGTCGTCGAGGCGATGGTAGCAGCGGACGGCGGCGTGTCCAGGACGGTCGCAAACGGTGCCGTGGCGGGGGCCGGACTGAAGCTGGTACTGGCATGTGACCACACTGGAGTCGCCACTTGACACCGAGCTGCGTGCCCTACAACCACGACCACTACCACCAGCGCCGTCAAACTACCACGGCGGCGGGGGTCCCCACGGCGACTGCTGCTGCTACTACGACTGCTGCTGTTTTTGCTACTGCTGCGGCTACTTCTGCTGCTCCGGGGCACCAGCCTCGGTCCCCTCGTCTGCACCACCGTCCCCGCCCCCACCTCCACCACCCCCACCACCCCCACCACCCTTCCCTCCCCCACGCCCCCCCTTGGGGCGGCGGCCCTTACCCTGACGCTACTACGCTGAGGCCATGGCGGTGGTCTCAGCAGCAGGGGCTGTCTCAGCGACAGCGGCACAAACGTCAGAGTAGGTGCTCTGGGAGGGAGCACAGCCTTGGAAGATAGGGACCGCCGCAGTAATGCTAGACTGAGCGATCGTACGCTAACGGGTCTCTATCGCGGACAGGGCGGTGACAAAGGCAGTAAGGGTGAGGTCACCTGGGTGACTAAGGAAGTGGTCGCGGGAAGTGGCTAGGCGGCCAGGAAGACGCGTGGCAATAAGATAAAGGGTAGCGCAAAGCGGCGGCGAGAAGGCAATGAGCTGTGCCTGAGTGCTAGTGGCGCGATAGCTAGTCGCAAGTGCGCGGATGTGAGTTGCAAGGTCAGCGACAGTGGGGATGGACGCAAGGTAAGGGAACAACATGGGGAGAATCAGACCGCCGACTGAAGCTGAGGAGGGAGTGGAATAGCGCGCGATGACGTCATCTAGGTATTCCTTGGCATTTGCTACAGCGGTACAGCAGGGACGCTCAGACAAGGGGAGGGCGTGACGAATGGCAAGCTGTGCAACGACGTCGTGCGACTCCCAGATAGCGCAGGCAAGCTCAGCAGTGACAAAAGCCTCACGCTTAGTGGAGAGCGGTGGAGTGCAGTGGAGTGCAGTGGAGAGTGGTGGAGTGCGGTGGAGAGCGGTAGAGTGCGGTGGAGAGCGATGGAGCCGGCCGGCGGGATCGCCGGCTCAGAAGAGGAGCCAAGGCCAGCGGGTCAACGTGGCTCGGCGGTAGGAAAGGGCCGGGGCAAGCTCGGACCGGCGAAGCTGCGGTCGGCGGAGCTGGGGCCGGGCTGGCGGGCGCAGGGCTGGCGGGCGCGGGGCGAGCAGGGGCAGGGCTGGTGGGCGCGGAGCCAGCGGGCGCGGGGCTGGTGGGCGCGGGCCCAGCAGGCGCAGGGCTGACAGGCGCGGGGCTGACGGGCTCAAGGTCAGCAGGCGTGGGACTAGCAGGCGCGGGGCCAAGCAGGACACGGGGTCGGCGGCTAGGGGCTGGCGAATGCGGGGCTGGCGAATGCGGGGCCAGCGGGTGCGGGGCTGGCGCAATCAGGGCCAGCAGGCGCGGGGCTGGCGAAAGCGGGGCCAGCGGGCGCGGGGTGGGCGAAATCGGGGCGAGCGGGACACGGGGCCGGCGTCGTGGGGCTGGCGAATGCGGGCCAAGCGGGCACGGGGCTGGCGAATACAGGGCCAGCGTGCGCGGGGCGAGTGAAATCGGGGCCAGCGGCGCGGTGCGGGCGGGCGCGGGGCCAGCAGTCACGGGGCCAGCGAGCACGGGGCTGGCAGGCGCGGGGCAAGCGTACGCGGGGCCAGCGGGGCCAGCGAGCTCTGGGCCAGCAGGCCCGGGGCTGACGATCGCAGGGCCAGCGAGCACGGGGCTACGGGCTGCTAGCGATGGGCGGCTCGAAACGGGCGGCTCAAAACGGGCAGCTAGCGACGGGCGGCTAGGACTAGGACTAAAGTGGAAGCGCGGGTAGGCGAGGAGGATCTAACCTAGAGCGTGATACCATCTCAGAGTAGAATTGTTGACTAGAATGAGAGATACAAGGTAGTTGTGTCTAAGGGGTTGTACTCTCTAGAGGACTGCACCTATCTAGCCTATAACATATACAAAAGATATGTTGAGTTGACACTCGTTCATATACGATATGTCGCTGTGTGTGCATATGCAATGAGGCATTCCGTACACGCGAATCGAGATGTGAAAAGGGGGAATGCTGGCCGGTTTGGACTTAAGGTGTTGGTGGTTTTTTGCTGGTGCATGCTGCGATGGTATGGTACCAGGGTCTCATATTTCCGGCTGAAAAGGCCTGAAATGATGTATATCAGGGTGTTTTTTCATGCATAGCCTGATTTTTCAGACTTATTTTTTGTTATCCTGATTTTTAGGGGTTGTTTTTTCAGTCGGCCTGGAAATCTGTAGGTTGCTGCTATAGCTAGCCTGACGAGTCAGCCTTTACCGGAAACCCTCCTGAAACGGAATCATATCCCCCACCCTCCCCCCCCCCACCCCCCTCCTCTCCCGAAGCCACCAAATTCCGGCTTTGGTGGGGCTGGGCCCCTGATTGGCCATTTTTGGCCCGTAGTTTGAGTTTCGTTGGAGCATGTGTGACGGATGTCACTGGTCGTTGACCAAATTTATGCCAATCGATGTGTGTTGGCAAGTATGTGGGGGTTGCGATTGGTCCTTGACCAAAATCACGCTTTATCAGCCAGCAGTGTGTAGCACGTCAGTGTGCAAGGGTGGGTTCTCTCCAACATTGCTTCCCGCAAAAAGCTAGTAGTGTTGAAAACTTGACGAGGCAAGAACTAAGGCCTGATAAGTCAGGCTTCCTGAAATTTCGGCCTGAAAATTCATGCCATAATTTTAAACCAAGCCTGACCAAAATGGTTTGAGAGCTAGGCAGGCCTGACCTATCAGCATCCTTAAAACGAATCTGAGACCCTGTATGGTACCTAGTAATTGTATGGCTTAGGCTGTTATACAAGTTTGAGAAAACAAGTGAATCTGTGAATAGGTACTCGTTATTGCTCTCTCGATTTACCGTGTAGAGCTAAGCGCGCCACTGAACAGAAGGGGCTCGCGTCCCGAATTTGTTCCTGAAGCGATGGAGTTTCCTGTGACGAGGCCAGCATGGTTGGCTGCCACGGTGCACAAGGGCCAGTGGAATCCGCGGCCCTATCCGCAGCTTTCAATGACGAAACTACTACTAGCATCTGATTGGTGGTCCGCTCCTCCGCAATCCTCCTGGTCACTCTGCTGCTCCTGCCGAGATTTGGCGAACGGTCGCCAGACGAGGCGACACATGTGCGACGGACGGTTCGCCATCGCCACTCCTACCAGCGGAGCACCCCCAGCTTGTCGAACCGCCCAATCCCATCAATCATCGGCGGAGCAGTGTGTGGTGGCTGGGGCAGAGCTCGTTCTGCGACAGGTTACCTCATGTCTTGCCATTATGCGATATTCGTTAACGCTTCGTTGGATTCGTTTACGCCGAACGACATCGTTTAGCGCTGTTGTTCCCTGGGGCCAACCAATCATCCATCGCTCCACATGTCAGAGCATGATGTGATGATGATATGCCTTGCCTTTCCTTGCCTTGCGTTGCGACCCCCTCCTCTCCTCCCTTGATCGGTGTTTCCTTCCCTTACCTTGCCTTGTCTTGTCCCCTCCCCATCATCTCCCTCGAGCTTGTCGTCTGTCTGCCATCCCCAAACCCCGTCCCCCACTCCACCCTTCCCTCCCCCCCCTTTCAAATCTGGAGGCAGTTCTCTTTCTGCTCCGCCTGTTTCCTAATTAGAGGAATTCGTAAAAGTTTCTGCAGCCTTTGAAGTGCGGTCCAAGGCAGTTGCCCACTTTCCGGGTTTCCTGATCGCCGGTGGTGTGATCCCTCGTCTGCGCGCTGCTTTGAATCCGTAGCTTCCACTAGCAAATACCGTTTTTCCTGGGTTAAGTTGGACGGGGAGGGCGAGTTCGAAGTTCCGTGACTGGAGCTTTAACTTTTTTCAGCGGCTTGTGTTTTGCTGAGCGATCTTAAGGTTAGGCGCTGGGCCTGTCAGGCCCTCCGCCGGGCCATTTCAGATGGCCAACTTAAAGACGTATCGGCAGCAGGAGGGGTTTCATGATAGGAAGTCTGCCGTTCCGTCAACGGATGTTCCTCCTTTGGAGGAGCCGCTGGCGGGCTATATATTCGTGTGCAACAACGAGACCATGGAAGACGACATAAAACGCGAGCTTTTCGGTGAGCCGTCTGTTGGTGATGCGTTTGAGTCGGACTCGACAACACGCTCCGCTCTTGGAGGATCCGTGGCGGCTTATGTATTCTTATATATTTTCGCGTGTAACAACGAGTCCATTTAGGACGACATTAAAACGCGAGCTTTTCGCAAGCCATTAGTTGGGGATCGACCGTTGTTGTGATCGAGACCGGGACTCCTCAGATAGCCGTCGATCGGCATCATGCCCTATTCATGTTCTTCAAGGCTTTCGAGTATAGTCCGAGTTTCCGCGGTTCTGATGGCGATGAAAAGAGAAGGAAGCAGTCGCGTTTCCGGTCTCTGATCGACAGATGGCTTCGGTCGCTCTGCGATGGATGGCTTCGGTCGCTCTGCGATATCGCTGTCGTCGCACGCATCGCTTGGGGGAAATGCGTCGCGTCCAGGCTCTGATCGCCGTCTTAAAACGCTTCCAACGTCGTCGTGTTTTTTTTCACACAGGCGTCATCGCACGCGTCGCTCTGCGCAGAGTCTCAGGGACTTTCCCCTTTTTTGTGTGGATCTGAGCTTATGCCTTCTGAGCCCGTTGTGCACCATTCGCCTAATGCTGACCTTGCCTCTTCTTTATTCTTCCTGTGTCTGCTCGCAGGTTTACCGCAGAAGTATCACGAGTCAGTTCGGGGCATTCAACCGGGAATGCCGCTGTTCCTCTACAACTACACCACGCACCATCTACACGGGGTCTTCGAGGTGCGATGTATCGATTTGCTACAAACGAGGACAGTGCGTGACGTGTTACGATCCAATGCGCGTGCTGTTAAGATCGTCCGAAAAAACAACAAACGTATGCAATGGAGAACGCGTCGATATTTCTTAGTCAATGTAGAGACCGACCATGCTTCGTTCTCGCTTCCCGATGTTGTCATGAGAGGGCGTCCGCGTGCATAAAGACCTGTCATATTTGTCCAATGCATCGGTCGTCTTGTAATATGGTTAAGGTCTACTTTTGCTTACTACTGCTCTCTCTTCCTCTCTCTATCTCTCCTCTCTCCCCTGCCTCCCACCCCCCGCCGGTTTTCTCCTCTCTCTCTCTCTCTCTCTCTCTCTCTCTCTCTCTCTCTCTCTCTCTCTCTCTCTCTCTCTCTCTCTCTCTCTCTCTCTCTCTCTCTCTCTCTATCTCTCTCTCTCTCTCTCTCTCTCTCTCTCTCTCTCTCTCTCTCTCTCTCTCTCTCTCTCTCTCTCTCTCTCTCTCTCTCTCTCTCTCTCTCTCTCCCGCTGTCCCTGTCTTCTCGTCGCTGTCCCTCCTTCTCCGCCTCCTTCCTTTCCCTGCCTCTCTTGATCACCGCTGCAGGCGTCAAGCGAAGGTGGTCTGAACCTGGACTCGTCACTGGCGAAATTCCCGTCACAAGTGAGCTCCCAGCACTCTTTGGCCTGTTTGGATCGTCTCGTTGTTTTCGTCTTTTTTTCTTTTTCTTTTTGTTTATACCTTTCTAAGCATTACGTTTTTTTTTTTCTCCAATGCACCCTCTATTGGCCTCCCTGAAGCGCTTTCAAGTTGAGATTTTTCTTAGAGTCTGTCAGCGAACACCTTGAACTCTTCATTCAACCTGTGCATTCCCGTTCTTCAGACATGCGTACATTCTGCAGTTTAGGGTTCGTCTGCGTCTCAGCGAACAACTGACAACTTTCATCTAACCTGTACATTCCCCGTCCTTCAACCTGCGAACTTTCTGCAGGTTAGGGTTCGTCTGCGGGAGCAACGGTCACCGCTGGACGAGACCAAGTTCCGGCGGTTCCTGTACCACTACGACGGGCCCAAGTTTCGCCTCGAGCTGTGCCTTACTGAGGTGCGATCATGCTTGTTGACGTGCGATCATGCTTGCTGACGTGCGATCATGCTTGCTGACGTGCGATCATGCTTGCTGACGTGCGATCATGCTTGCTGACGTGCGATCATGCTTGCTGACGTGCGATCATGCTTAGAGTTGTTGCTATGAGCGGGTTCGATCGCGATTGCTAAGGTGCGATCATGCTTACAGTTGTAGGGTACATCACCTTTCAGTCACCGAGTCTAGTTCGGGCGGTTCCTGTACGACTTCGACGGGCCCAAGTTCTGGGGGTTCAAGTTTCGATCGAACTCGCCCTCGCGGAGAGGTGTGTTGCTTGTAGTTGTAATTCTTGTAATTCTAGTAGTTCTAGTCGTTCTAGTAGTTCTTGAAGTTCTAGTAGTTCTTGCAGTTCTAGTAGTTCTTGCAGTTCTAGTAGTTCTTGCAGTTCTAGTAGTTCTTGCAGTTCTAGTAGTTCTTGCAGTTCTAGTAGTTCTTGCAGTTCTAGTAGTTCTTGTAGTTCTATACGTTCTAGTTCTTGTAGTTCCTTCCAGGCATCATGCCGTTCGGGGATCCTTGAATTGAAGGTCACCTGATTTTTCAGACATCAGGGTTTTGACGAAGCATGCTCAAAGGTTGGTTTCTCCCTGGAGGCCCTCGTTGTTATACTTTTTAGTTTGTGAATTGATAACAACGGTTTTGCGGCTAGACTATAACATAGCAGAGTTTTGCCCCCTCCGACCTACATTCCCATCCCAGTCGGTCATGTCTTAATCCAAAACTTGATTTTTCGTTTTTTTTACAGTAATAGCAAAAATAAACGCGTTGTTTCACGTTCTCCTTCCCTCCTGATCCGTCGCTTCCAGCCCAACAACCTTCTGCAAGTCTTCGGTCAGAGAGGGAGAAGAAGCCAAGGCGGACATCACACTTCGTTCTAGTCTACATCTCTTTCGTTTCCATGTCCTCCTTCCCCTTTGGTTCCTTCCCCTTTGGTTCCTTCCCCTTTGGTTCCTTCCCCTTTGGTTCCTTCCCCTTTCGTTCCTTCCCCTTTCGTTCCGTCCCCTTTGGTTCCTTCCCCTTTGGTTCCTTCCCCTTTGGTTCCTTCCCCTTTGGTTCCTTCCCCTTTGGTTCCGTCCCCTTTGGTTCCTTCCCCTTTGCTTCCTTCCCCTTTGCTTCCTTCCCCTTTGGTTCCTTCCCCTTTGGTTCCTTCCCCTTTGGTTCCTTCCCCTTTGGTTCCGTCCCCTTTGGTTCCTTCCCCTTTGCTTCCTTCCCCTTTGCTTCCTTCCCCTTTGGTTCCTTCCCCTTTGGTTCCTTCCCCTTTGGTTCCTTCCCCTTTGGTTCCGTCCCCTTTGGTTCCTTCCCCTTTGGTTCCTTCCCCTTTGGTTCCTTCCCCTTTGGTTCCTTCCCCTTTGGTTCCTTCCCCTTTGGTTCCGTCCCCTTTGGTTCCTTCCCCTTTGGTTCCTTCCCCTTTGGTTCCTTCCCCTTTGGTTCCTTCCCCTTTGGTTCCTTCCCCTTTGGTTCCTTCCCCTTTGGTTCCTTCCCCTTTGGTTCCTTCCCCTTTGGTTCCTTCCCCTTTGGTTCCTTCCCCTGCAGGCCAGCAACCTCCTGCGAGTCTTCGGTCTGCTAGAAGGGGAAGAGGCCGAGGCGGAGCAGCAGCAGGGGGACGAGGAGGGCGGGCAGTGGGAGAAGGACAAACCCTAGGGCCGGGGATTGAGCTCCACCTCTTTATACCATGACCATGACATGATGTCCCTCATGTGCGTCTTTACTTCCTTCTTCCCTCATGGTTCGTTCTCCTACAGGCCAACAATCTGCTGCGAGTTCTTGGTCTGCTCGAGGGCGAGGAGGGCGAGGGGGAGCAGCAGCAGGGGGACGAGGAGGCGGGCAGTGGGGGAAGGTCAAGCCCAAGGGCCGGGAGTCCGCCTAGCCTCTTCGTGGCATCATAACATAACGTCCTAGACACATTACCTTCGTTCTCATTTCGTCCTTCCCTCATGTGTCTTTCTCCCTCCCAGGCCAACAACCTCCTGCGAGTCTTCGGTCTGCTAGAAGGAGAGGAGGGCGAGGGGGAGCAGCAGCAGGGGGACGAGGAAGGCGGGCAGTGGGAGAAGGTCAAACCCAAGGGCCGGGGCATGCGCGGCGGCTATTCCGGTGGCGGCGGGGGGGGGCATTTCCGCGGTAAGAAGCACGGGCACGCGCATCAGGGGGGTCACTGGCGCCCCGCGCAGAACCAAATGGGCAACGGCGTGGGGCATTCTGGGGGCGGGGGCGGGGGAGCAGGGGGAGCGGGGGGAGCAGGTGCAGGGCGAGGGGGAGGCGGAGGCGCTGCAGGGGCAGCAGTTCCGCTGCCCCCGCCCGCGCCTCCCGCGGCTGGCGGAAAGGATGGCGGAGGCCGCGCGGATTCCTCAGGGCGGTGGCGGCAGGGGGAGGCGGACAGCTGCAGCAAGTCGTCGGGTAGCGGAAGCGGACTGGTTTCCCCCGATTTAAGCACTACTGGGGGGAGCAGCAGTGAGGAGCGGTCATCCGCGGGCGGCGGGGACCACGAGGCGGAGTGTAACGGTAACGGGGTTCTCCATACGGAGGATAGGCGGAGCGAAGAGTCTTCATCCTCCGAGCAGGGCGGGGAGGGGGAAAAAGGAGGGGAGGGTGACGCGGAGAGGGGGGGGAGAGGCGGGAGTCCCGGGAAGGCTGCAGGGGAGGGGGGAGCAAGCGGGGCGGGCGGTGGGGGCAGTGTGTGGGCTGTGCGCAGCGCCAATGTGTCGTTTGCGGCGGTTTTGCTGGGGAAGGCGGAGGAAGGAGCTGCTGGGGGGAGTTCTGAGGGGGCGGATGGCGCAACGGGAGCCCCCTCAGGGGGAGGGGCGGAAGCTACTGGAGGAGAGACTGCGGGCGCAGTGGGCGCAGCAGGCACAGCAGGGGCGGCGGAGGCGAGCAAGGAGGAACCCCGCTCTGAGAACGCGGGCGCTCCTGCTAGCGCTGAAGCGCCTGAGGCTGTGGCAAGAGCAGGAGCAACAGCACCAGCGCCAGTACCAGGGGAAACCCGCTCAAGTAGCCCTCCAAAAGAGGGTAAACCAGCGGGTAAAGACGGGAGTGCGAGCGGGGAGAAGGCTGGTGCTGAGGAGGAGGAAGAGGGATGGATCAAGGTGTCTAGCGGACCTAAGGAGAAGGCGCAGGGGAGAGGGGGAGCAGGGGGGGCGGCGGGTGCTGCTGCGTCGGGCGGAAGGGGGGCGCGGAGGGGGAGCGGGGAGGAGAAACCGGCGGGTGTGTGGGTGAAGAGGGGGGGCCCGGCTGCAGGAGGGGGGAAGGAAGGTCGGGGCGGAGGGAAGAAAGCGGGCGGCAGAGGGGCGGATAGGGCCGCAGGGGCTACTGCTGCTGCTGGGGTGGGGGCTGCTTCTGCGGCTGGTGCTGCTGCTGCTGCTGCCAACGATGTTGCCACTGGTGCGGATGAGGGGCAGGCAGCAACCGCCGCTGCGAACGGCGCTGCTGCCGCTGCTGCTGCACCGGCAGCAGCTGCTGCTGCCGCGAATGCGAAAACCCCGGCATCGTCTGCACAGGCGACGAAATCCCGGCGACCCGCTTGGCAGGGAAACGACGCTGCCATTCTGAAGCGCCTGGTGGATAGTGGGTCCGGGCAGGGTAGCTTAGGCCAGACCGGTCCAGGATCGACCGAGGATAGCAGTCGGAAACAGCAGGGTTCGCAGCAGCAGCACGGTAGGGAGGGGAAGCAGGCTGGGAAGGCTGGAGGGCAGACTGGTGCTGGCGCGGGTGCAGGGGAGAAGGGGAAGGATGGGAAGAAGGGTGCGGGTGCACGGCATGAGGGATCCGGGGAGGCGGCTGCTGCTGCTGAGAATAGCAAGGCTGGGGCGTCCGGGGAGGGTAAAGATAAGGCAGGGGGTGCGGAAAAAGTGGGAGAGGATGTGAATGCGGGGGATGGTGAGAAGGCGGGGCAGAAGGGGAAGATTCAGGGGGGTGAGAGTGCGGGTGGTGCGAGGAAGAACAGTGGAGGAGGGGGAGGAGGGGGGCCAAGAGTTGCTGCTAGGGTTGTGTCTCAGCCGCAGCGGCAGCACCACCGACAACAGGGACACCAGCACGGGCAGCAGGAGCAGCAGCAGCACCAGAACCATAATAATCAGCACCAGCACCAGCACCAGCACGGTGGGAAGACTAGCGTTTCCACTGGCGCCTCCACTGGTGCCTCTGCGCCCTATTACTCCTCTGGACACCATCCTGCACACCACCACACCGCCGCCACAGGTCCTAACGCTGCTGCTGCTGCAGGCGCCGGGCAGCCGATTCTGCACATGCACCGTCAGCAGCAGCACCAACAGCACCAGCACCAGCAGGGGAGGTCCATGCGTTACCAGCAGCGGCCAGGAGCTGCGAACGCCCCTGGTGGCGCTGGCGGTAGTGCTGGCGGCAGTGGTGGTGGTGGTGCTGGTGGGGGAGGCAGAGGAGGGGGGTATCGCCATGGGGGAGTGCCAGGGGGGCGCGGGCAGGGGGGAGAGGTGCACCCTGCTGGGGCAGTGGGAGGAGGGGGAGGAGCAGGAGGAGGAGCAGCGGTGGGTGTGAGGCAGGGTGGAGGTAGCGTTGTTCCAGGTGCTTCTGCAGCAGCCGCTGCTGCTGCTGCGGCGGCGGCGGCGGCTTCTTTGAGTGGCGCCCCTGCTGCTGTGGCTGGTGCTGCTGCGGCTGCTGCCGCTGGTACAACAGCAGCAGCAGGGCCAGCGCGAGGAGTAGTCTCCGTTGTACCTGGCACAACCGCAGCAGCAGCAGCAGCAGGATCCGCCCCTCTAGGCCCGCCTTTCCACGCAGGAACCGCTGGGGTCCTCCCTGGATCCGCCCCTCCCTCGTCTCTCTACCATCCCCTCCCATTCACTGCCCCGCTCGCGCACGCCCCAGGACAAGCCCCGCTCCACCCTCACACCCACCCGCATGCCCACCCTCACAACCACCCTCACACCCACACTCACACCCACCCGCACACCCACCCGCACCCGCTCCCGCACCTGCACCCGCGCATGCTGGCGATGCCTATAGCGGGGTTCCCTGCATTCCCTGTGCCGCCCCCCGCTCTGCTGCAAAACGCGGCGGCGCTGCATGGGGAGGTGCTCAAGTATGCGGAGGAGGTGCGGCCGCCCAGGGAGGCGCGGGTCAGCGCGGAGCAGGCTGTGGCGTGCGTCAGGCGGACAGTGCGGTCGCTGTGGGAAGGCGCTGACGTTGAGGTGAGTTCTAACCTGGTTGTTGCTCCCGTTTGTCTGAAGGCCCAAGGTCTGCACGTACACCTGTGTCGTGTGAAGTGCCTCCTCAAGGAACTCACCCGGTTTTACAGGCAACCGGGTGTCAGATGCACTGGCAAAACCGTATGGCACCCGTGGATGACATGAGGCAAGAACTTGTCCTAAGTCTCCGCGTCTGTCCGTCTGTGGGGGTGGGGCGACAGATGTTCTACTTGTCTGGCACATGGGTGGCACTCGCCCACTTCACCATCACAAACTCCCCTCCCCCCCCCCCTGCCTTCCCTTCTCAACCAACCCATCCACTTTATAAACAGTTGTTTGGGTCATTCGCCACTGGGCTCGCGCTAGCACACAGGGATGTTGACGTGGCAGTAATCAATGCACCTCTCTCTCTACACCCCCCACCTGCAACCCCTCCCGCCCTCCCCCCTTCCTCCCTCCCCCCCCATCTTCACTTTCCAGGTGTTTGGGTCATTCGCCACTGGGCTCGCTCTAGCACACAGCGATGTTGACGTGGCAGTCATCAACGCTCCCCCACCGCCAGCTGACCTACCAGAGCTCGCCAGCCTGTCAGGTGCGCCATCAGCTTCTTAGCGTGTCACTTCGCAATAAGAAACGTGACCTGCTGCCGGTGATTTCGAGTAGACCCTGACATCCGCCGACCTACCAGAGCTCGCCAGCCTGTCAGGTGCGCGCATCAGCTTCTAAGCGTTTCACTTGGCAAAAGTAGTTATCTGCTGCCACGTTCAGACAAGTGCGGTCCTCTAATTGTGTTTGTTATTGTGGGTTCGTCTACTTTTCCTTTTGTGTCAGGTGTGCAAATTAGCACAGTGCTCATCTGGCAGCTGGCTCCAGCTCTGTTTAGCAGGCACCTTCGAAGCAATAGGCCCTCTTTTCTCCTCTCTCTCTCTCAGGTGCGCGCATCAGCGCGCCACTCATCCGCCAGCTGGCAGCAGCGCTGAAGCAGCAGCCGTGGTGCGAGAGCCTGCACACGATCGAGACCGCCCGCATCCCCGTCATCAAGCTGAAGTGCCGCCCGCTGCTGCCCGCAGCAGCAGCAGCTGTAGCAGCTGTACCAGAGATTGTAGCAGAAGGCACGGAAGGTGGGGTGGTGGCTTCAGAGGAAGGGGAAGGTGCTGCTAGTGCTGCTGTTTCTTCTGGCTCTCCCCCCCCTTCTGCAAACTCCCCCAAAAGCTCTTCACCCACTGCCGACCGGCCAGCAGCAGCAGCAGGAGCAGCAGCAGCAGCAGCAGCAGGAGCAACAGCAGCAGCAGGAGCAACGCTGAAGGCGTCTGGGTCGGTGTCGGACCTGATGGGGCCGAGCGCCCAGGGCGTGGTGCGGATGGACATCACCTTCTCACTCTCGCGCCCCAAGGACATGGAGGTTCATGACGGCCCGAGCAGGGTGCTGGCGAATAAGCTGGACGAGGCGGCTGCGGCACACAATGGGTCTGCGGCCAGGGAGCTGGTGATTGAACGGCTGAAGCAAATGCCTGCGCTCGCTCCTCTGGTGAGTATTTAGCCACACGTGGGCAGCTCAGGGGGTGACGGGGGGATAGGGGCAGCTAAGTTGGATGGGGTGCAAACATACGGTAATCGTATTATACGGGACGTTTAATACGGCCGTAATCTTTGAAAAAGTGCTGTTTTTTTGTTTGACAAGTCTTTTTTTTTCCCCTTTTTTTTGACAGATCCATGCGCATAACAGATCTGCACATTTTGGCGGGCGAAATGCGAGATCCGCGCATGTCGCCTGTCGAAACGCGAGATCCATGCATTTTGGCTGGCAAAATTCCAGATCAGCGCATGTCGGCCGTCAAACCGCGAGATCCGCGCATTTCGGCAGTCGAAATGCCAGATCCGCGCTTTCTGACTGTACATTTCACCCCGTTTCTTGAAAATTCGGCCCAAAAAACGACCTTTTTTTGCACCAAATATGGCACTTCTGACCGTTTTTGAATCGTATTATACGGCCGAAAAAATCGGTACTGTACCATACGGTCAAATTTTGAAAAAAAACGCCGGTTTTTTGCATCAGGGGGCTGGTGATTGAGAGGCTCAAACAGATGCCTGCGCTCGCTCCTCTGGTGAGTCTGGCCTGCTGAAGGGGCTGGGGTCACAGGTAAGGGTTTGACGTCTGGGCCGGTGCCCGACTTGATGGGTCCATCGAAGCACGGAGGGCGTGATTCGGATGGACATCTCTTGCCGCCTTCGCGCCCCAAGGATATGGAGGTGACCTCCTTTTTTTTCTTCTTTTTTTTGAGTCCCCTCAAAACTTGATGGGCCTCTTGAAGCGCCGAGGGCGTGGTTGGGATGGACATCTCTTGTCGCCCTCACACCCCAAGGATATGGGAGAGGTGACCTCTGAGATGACTTTTGAGTCGACTCGAAGATAATTTTCGGCTCTGGCAACGGAAGTTAGTGGCTTCCGTTTTAAGGTTTAGGTATTAAGGTTGCCCTCTTCCCATCCACATGCCCTCTCTCTCCTGACTCTCCCTAATCCAGGTGCCGCTGATGAAGTCCTATCGGCACCACAAGGGCCTCAAGGACGTCTACACCAGAGGGCTGGTTTCCCTCACATGGCGGCAGTAAACCCTACATTCCTGACTCGTTCTGTTGCCGTTTCTCGTCCCAACATCTTGCCTGTTCGTTTTCCTATTTATTCGCCTCTCCCAGGTGCTGCTGATGAAGTCCTATCTGCACCACAGGGGCCTCAAGGACGTCTACACTGGAGGGCTCGGCTCCTTCTCGCTCACCATGATGCTCGTCTTTTACCTTGAGGTCAGTCGAGGCTTCCAACTAGCATTCAATCCTGAGTGGGGCGTTTGTTTTTTAAGTCGGCCAAGGTGGGGTCATTGTCCAACTCTGGGCTCCTATGCATCCGTCATGGAGGAGAAATGGGAGAACAAATGATCATAGGCGCAGAACCAAATGCAGTAGCAACAGCTTTCGCTGGCATCCAGCGTAAGCTTGTTTAGGGTTCGTCCTCAGATTAGGATTTCGAGAGGTGGTCAGCCTAAACCCTGAACCCTGTTGGCAGGATCCAGGGTTCTGTCAGTTCTGTTCGTCTGGCCATCTGAGATGCCTTACAATGAGCTGCATTTTGAGTTGTCTCTGTTATCCTGGTTCAGGGGCTATGGTTTAGGGTGCAAGAGCCTCAGTAAGTGTGGCATGGCTGCTGTTGCTCAGGCTGCTGCTACTGAGAAGGTGCATCAAGGGATCCTAAACCGTGGTTCTCATTGCTGCGTTGTTTTACTTTGCTTCCGCTCTCCCTCGTGTTCTGCCGAGAGAGAGCCCCTGTTGCATGTGGCATGGCGGCTGCTGCTGCTGCCGCCGCTGCTGCTGCTACCGCTGCTGCTGGGTTCTGAGGAGGCTGTATCAAATAGGGCTAGGTCGTTTTCTCATCGCTGCGCTGTTTTGCTTTCCTTCCCCTCTCCCCCTTGTGTTCTCCAGAGAGCCCCTGTTGCATGTGGCATGGCTCCTCCTCCTGCTGCTGCTTCTGCTGCTGCTGCAGAGACAGCAGCCAAGGCACCAGAGTCGAAATCGGCAGAAACCAAAGCTGAAGCAGCAGGTGACGAGCCGTCATCAGACACTCCTGCTGGTGCTGTTGCTGCAGCTTCTGAGACTGCCGAAACTGGCACTACTGGGGCTGGTGGATCCACCACTGCTGCTGACACTGTGAATGCCTCCAATGCTACAGATGCTCCTGCTGCTGCTGCTCTTGCTGCCAGCAGCAACGCAGATGCTGCAGATGGTGCTGCAGATTCTGCTCTTGCTGCTGCACCTGACGCAGCAAAGAAGCCATCAGCTGCTGAAGGCAGCACCAGTAGCAGCGTGACAGCAGCAGCTTTGGCGGACGGGCCTGTGAAGGGGGTGGTGGTGGATGATCTGCCGGGTTCGGCGCAGTCCGTACCTGTGCCGAACCTGGGAGTGCTGCTCATCGGTTTCCTGCACCTCTTTGGCCAGGAGATCGACCTCTCTCGCGTGCGCCTCATTCTCAGGGTGAGTAGAACTCTGCTCATTGTTATGAATGATCATGCTTTAGGAGAACATTTTTTAGGCGCCTCAAAGAATGATCATGCTCTCTCTTCACTAAGTCCCCTTTTCTCCAAGACTGAAGGAGTCCTCTTTTGAAGGAACCTCTTTATTTTTTAGGCACCTCAAAAATAGGCTGCTATCACATGGTTTTTTTACAGTTTTTTTTTTTTTTTTTTTTTTTTTTTGGCCCCTCGAAACTAGACCCTGCTCTCTAAGACTGAAGGAGTCTTTGCATTCCTGCAACCCTGCTCTCAATTTTTGAGGCGCCTCAAAAATAGCCTGCTCTCAAAAGTGGAGTCTTGTTCTAGAGGAGTCTCTAAAACCGAAGGAGTCTTGTTCTATTGGAACCTCTTTATGTGACCCGCTGCTTGGTCTTCTCATTCCTGCGATTCTCTCTTGTTGACTCTTTCTCCTTAACTCCTTGTGGCTCAAACGGGATGCCAGGCAGGAGGTGTCTTCTGGAGAGACCCCTCCATACATACCGCCCGCTGCTCAACTTTTTAGAATTTTCAAAAACAGAACACATTCTGGAGAGGCCCCTCCATGCCGCTGGCTGCTCGAGTCACCTTCCTTCTCATTCCCGTTGCGTTCTATTATTGAACTTCCCCCTCCGAGCTGCAGGGACTGAACGGCACGCCAGGAGGTGAATTCTCGAGGGACCGCTCCACGCCTCCTGCTGCTCTGTGGGTTGACGACCCTCTTCGTCCTCTTTTTCCCTTTTTTTTTGCCTCCTCGTTCCCCAGGGTCTCAACGGCATGCCAGGGGGCGTGTTTTGGAGGGACCCCTCCATGCCCCCCGCTGCTCTCTGGATCGACGACCCTCTCCGCCCAGGGGCGAACATTGGCTCGGGATCATTTGCCATGTGGCATGTTCAGGTGTGGTGCTGCATGGTGCTGCATGGTGGGGCATTGCAGGGGCGTGGGAAGGGAAAGGGAGGGGCCAGGGAAGGGAGGGGCAAGGGAGGGGCAAGGGAGGGGCAAGGGAGGGGCAAGGGAGGGGCAAGGGAGGGGCAAGGGAGGGGCAAGGGAGGGGCAAGGGAGGGGCAAGGGAGGGGCAAGGGAGGGGCAAGGGAGGGGCAAGGGAGGGGCAAGGGAGGGGCAAGGGAGGGGCAAGGGAGGGGCAAGGGAGGGGCAAGGGAGGGGCAAGGGAGGGGCAAGGGAGGGGCAAGGGAGGGGCAAGGGAGGGGCAAGGGAGGGGCAAGGGAGGGGCAAGGGAGGGGCAAGGGAGGGGCAAGGGAGGGGCAAGGGAGGGGCAAGGGAGGGGCAAGGGAGGGGCAAGGGAGGGGCAAGGGAGGGGCAAGGGAGGGGCAAGGGAGGGGCAAGGGAGGGGCAAGGGAGGGGCAAGGGAGGGGCAAGGGAGGGGCAAGGGAGGGGCAAGGGAGGGGCAAGGGAGGGGCAAGGGAGGGGCAAGGGAGGGGCAAGGGAGGGGCAAGGGAGGGGCAAGGGAGGGGCAAGGGAGGGGCAAGGGAGGGGCAAGGGAGGGGCAAGGGAGGGGCAAGGGAGGGGCAAGGGAGGGGCAAGGGAGGGGCAAGGGAGGGGCAAGGGAGGGGCAAGGGAGGGGCAAGGGAGGGGCAAGGGAGGGGCAAGGGAGGGGCAAGGGAGGGGCAAGGGAGGGGCAAGGGAGGGGCAAGGGAGGGGCAAGGGAGGGGCAAGGGAGGGGCAAGGGAGGGGCAAGGGAGGGGCAAGGGAGGGGCAAGGGAGGGGCAAGGGAGGGGCAAGGGAGGGGCAAGGGAGGGGCAAGGGAGGGGCAAGGGAGGGGCAAGGGAGGGGCAAGGGAGGGGCAAGGGAGGGGCAAGGGAGGGGCAAGGGAGGGGCAAGGGAGGGGCAAGGGAGGGGCAAGGGAGGGGCAAGGGAGGGGCAAGGGAGGGGCAAGGGAGGGGCAAGGGAGGGAAGGGAGGTGAGTGATGGAAGAATGGTGAGATGCTGCCATTTGGAGGTGCTGCCATTTGGAGGTGCTGCCATCTCCATTTGAGAGGGAGGGGGGAGGAGACATCTGTATCCCCAGTCTTTTCCCATCTTTCTTCTTGGGGGTCCTCATGCTCTGTTCATCTTCCCTCTCGTCCCCTCTCTCTTCGTCTCGTCCTCTCTCTCTCTCTCTCTCTCTCTCTCTCTCTCTCTCTCTCTCTCTCTCTCTCTCTCTCTCTCTCTCTCACTCTCTCTCTCTCTCTCTCTCTCTCTCTCTCTCTCTCTCTCTCTCTCTCTCTCTCTCTCTCTCTCTCTCTCTCTCTCTCTCTCGATCCCTCTCTTCCCTCTCGTTCCCTCACTTACCTGCTCGTTCCCACTCTTCCCCTTCCTGCAGGCTGCTATGCGTGAAATGCTACATATTATCTCCAAGCCACTCCCCACCCCTTCCACCACCACCACGACTACCGCGACCACCACTGCTGCCTCCTCCTCGCCCACTGCTCCCACTTCCCCTACTGCAACATCGACCCAATCCCCAGCAACAGCTGCTTCTGCTGATGCTGACAGCAACGGCAATCCAGCAGCAGCAGCAGCAGCAGCAGCTGCTGACAGCAGCAGCACACCCTTGACTCCACCATCAGGGAAATCAGCAGGAGATTCGACTCCCCCTCCTGCTGCTGCTCCTCGGGTCTTTACTCCCTCCTCCAGTCCCATCCTCTCTTCCGCCTCTCCTCTCCTCTCCTCCCCGTCCCGCCCCTCGCTCTCGCTTCTCGACCTGGCGTTTTCCACGCGCCTGCCGATCGCCCAGTCCTCCAAGCCGGCTGAATTGACATCCTCATCTCTCGTACTCGCACCTGCTTTCTCCCCTGCCAACCCGTCTGGTGCTGCGGCTGCCCCTCCTCCCGCTGCGCCTCCTGTTGCTTCTGTTGCAGTGGCTGTCGCTGCAGCAGAGTAGCACCTGAGTTTGTCGCTTCCTCCGCTGCCACTTTCTGCTTGTAGCGGTTTGTTGCCTTCGATCAAGAGCGGAATAAGCGGGAAAGGCCGTTGATAAGTCTGACTCAGAAGTGATTTTTACCAGGGCTGCTGCTGCTGCTGCTGCCTTCGTTTAGTGGGCTGCTGGGGTCAACTGGTGCACGGTGATGCTGCATTCGCTTCACGGGATGCTGAACAATTGTTTTCGTACGCCATGTTTTTCAAGCCCAAGCAGTTTCAAATGGCAGCACCTTCTAGTGGCTGCCCTGCCCATGCAGCAGTTTCACAAGTGGAAGCAGTTTCACAAGTGGAAGCAGTTTCACAAGTGGAAGCAGTTTCACAATTGGAAGCAGTTTCAAGTGGAAGCAGTTTGAAGTGGAAGGGCAGCAGCTCCGGGCAGCAGTAGGGGCGTTGGAGCATAACAAGCATGTGGTGGTGGCGTTTACGCTTTCCTTGTATGCGGCTGTGGGCATTCCGAGGCTGCCTGCTTCTGAGGGGGACAGTTAGTAAGGCACCTCGGAAGCAGCTGAGATGTTGGGGACAGTTTGCATGAATCCTGGAGCTGGCGCACATTGTTGGTGCATATTGTGCCGAGCAAGACCGACGACCCTGGAGCATGAGGCGATGGCTGGCTCGCGTTGACAGATGCTTTGTTTTGAACTGCGCTGGAGAGAAGCTTCATTTGTCAGGCGTTTATTCACATTGCTTGGATGGAGGGTGGTGCTTCTTACCTTGTGTGCAGCAAGTCCGCGGGAGGGGAGTGGGAATGCGTGAGGGGGGCAAGCACACAAGGCATGGCATGGGGTGTTGCTGTTTCACGGTGGGGGGGTGTGCAGGGCAGGTGCTGGTGCTGGTGCTGGCTGATTGGTTGCTGAGGGTTGCTGGATTAGTTTCGTTTGCTGGCGGTTGTGCCATGACGACCCTTGTCGTCCACTGCGTTCTGGTCGAAGGGGTGATTATGACTTGGTCAAGAGTTGGGACTCAGGCACGCCACGGGTCACTTCACTTGCTGAAGGGTCGGACGCATGGGTCACTTCACTTGCTTTGCTTGCCCTTCGCTGTGAGGGAATTTTGGTGCTTTCCAGGACCAGAGTTTTGCCATTTGTCGATGCAACTGCATCTGGTTAGGTTTGGGTTTTAGTCCATAACGCTTGCACCTTTGTTTCTGGATGTGTTATGGTTTGCTTTTGAACCCTTTTTTCTTTGTTATTACCGCACCTTGGGATTTAAGGCACTATGTGCCAATTTTGCTTACTCCTCTTGTGCTTTTAGTCCAAGAATTTGCTAGTCTTTCATGTACTTGGGATGGTGAGAAGATGGAGGTACTTGTTAAAAATATATAAGTTATAATTTAATATAGGCTTGGTAGGTTGTTACTGAACCTTTCTGTAGGGGGTACAAACCCCTCCTTGTACTCCCCTCTCTTCCTAATCCAACAACCTTTCTTCTCGACATCCTCTCACCTCCTAGATCCGTTTTTCCTCACGCCATTCCATGGCGGTCTTCTTCCTAGTATCCTAGCCAACCTAGCCTCCTAAGTTTAAGAACCTTTAGTCCTAAGTTTCTAAGATGGTATCAGAGCAGGAGATCCTCCCTGTTGGATCGCCTCCTCACGCTTCCGCAATTTACTCCTCACTCTCATTAGCTCGAGCGGCCATGGCGGCCGCGTTTTGCTGCAGTGGCGACGTCGCGCTGCCACTGGCCGCGTCGTGCCGCGACCGGCTCGACGCGCTGCCGTGGCGTCGGACCGTCGTTCTGCAGTCGCAGCGTCGACGTCCCGCTGCGGCATCGACGCTGCCTCTGCCGTCGCGACGTCGACGTCCTGCTGCAGCGTCGACGGCGCCGTCGGGCCGCAGCCGGTTGCGTCGACGCTTTGCCGTGGCAGCGTCACCTTGCTGCCGTTGCAGCGTCGGCGTGCCGCCACAGCGTCGACGCCGCGCCCTGGCGGCGTCGTCATGCTGCCGCGGCAGCGTGGATGGGCGGCAGCGGGCAGCACGCCGTCGTAACCGCCACCTGCCCGCCCTCCTGCCAGTAAGCGCCGCGCCACTTATGGCGCGTCGCTGAAGACTCGCCTCGCCCCGCCCCCTCCCCTCCCCCCCCCCACCTGCACCTGCTTCCCCTGCATCCCCCCCTTTCTTGCTGCAGCCGATGACTGCCATGTGAGGGACCTCTCCACCGCCGAGGAGACAGGACATGCCGCCGAGAGGGCGGGGGCCGCCGCACCAGCCTCTGTCGTTCGAGCCGCCGGCGCCGCCGCTGTTGCCGCAGGCCTGGAGCCGCCGCACACCGCCGCCGCCGTCGCCGTCGTCACTGTCGCTGCTGCCGCCATTGCCGTCTCAAGGGGCCGTGAGACCTACCCTCTTCCGGAGTCGTTGCGGCTCCTGCTGGGAATGGGGGTGCTGGGCTAGGGGGTGTGGGTGTGGGTGTGGGGGTGTGCGTGGGCTTGACACTACCAAGCCTAGGGGGTGTGTTAAAATTATATAAGTTATAATTTAATATAGGCTTGGTAGGTTGTTACTGAACCTTTCTGTAGGGGGTACAAACCCCTCCTTGTACTCCCCTCTCTTCCTAATCCAACTACCTTTCTTCTCGACATCCTCTCACCTCCTAGATCCGTTTTGTCAGAAACCCAGTCACTAACCACTGGGTTAAAAGGGCTTGTTGAATAGCGGGTAAGTGCGCCCATAGCCCCCCAGGCTCTGCACCTGTGGCCCTTCCCCGAGGATCTCAAGGGCAACCCCAGCGGGTCACTCAACACCCCCCCCCCCCGCTGGGTTAGGTGGAAGACACGAGCGCCTCTGCAGCGCTGGCACTGGGAGTTGAACCCAAGACCTTTGGCTCTGATACCATGTCAGAAACCCAGTCACTAACCACTGGGTTAAAAGGGCTTGTTGAATAGCGGGTAAGTGCGCCCATAGCCCCCCAGGCTCTGCACCTGTGGCCCTTCCCCGAGGATCTCAAGGGCAACCCCAGCGGGTCACTCAACACGTTTTTCCTCACGCCATTCCATGGCGGTCTTCTTCCTAGTATCCTAGCCAACCTAGCCTCCTAAGTTTAAGAACCTTTAGTCCTAAGTTTCTAAGAGTACTAACCAGGGCTGACTTTATCAGACTATTTACTTTGATTAGTCTGAAATCTCAGACCTGTTTTTTTGCCAAACCTGAATTTCCAGATAAGGCATTTTTCCAATCCTGATCCCTTCAGAGTACGATTCTAGGGATCCTGAGAAAATCAGAGTTGTCGCTAACCCAGTACTGAGTTTTCAGAGCACAGCGCGTACAGACCCTGACTCATTACCTGTACAGAACCAACCTTCGAAAAATTTGGTGAAGTCCCCAATCGCTAGAGACATGCCCCACACACCCCACAACCCCTAAAAATTTTCGGCTAAGTCCCCAAACCCTAGAGACAACCCCCACCCCACACCCCACACCCCACACCCCACACCCCACAACCCATCTAAAATTTCGGCGAAGTCCCGGAACGCTAGAGACATCCCCCACACACCCCACAACCCACCCTAAATTACGACTAAGTCATGTTGTCAGATACAGTCCTCCCTAACACCTGGAACAACCCAGAAGTTTTGAATGAGACTTTCACATTTTTTTTACTGCATTGGAATGAGAGTAAATTCCGCATTTTTAACATAGGGGAATTCTCGCCAGTTGCCCGTTTGGTCAACTGAAAGTCTAACAAAATGTAACGGTCACGATCGTTTGCGATCATTTCGACATATATCAATCGTTCGATGTTATGTAGTGATTAACGTCCAAGATTTCCCAAACGGGGCGCTGCAAGGGCGCGAAATTTCTCCCACCGTCCTATTCCCCAGCTTCCCCCCTCCCTGCCATTTCGATTCCCCCCTTCCCCTCCATTTTCGCTTCCCCCCTCCCCTCCGTTTCGATCACTTCCCCCTTCCCCTCCGTTTCGCTTCCCCCATCCTCTCCGTTTCGACCGCCCCCCCCCTCTTCCCCCCCCTCCCCTCCGTTTCGCTTCCCCCCTCCCCTCCATTTTGATTCCCTCCCCATTTCTCCGTCAGTTTCGATTCCCCCTCTCCTCAGTTTCGATTTCCGTGGCAGTGCGATTTTAACCCCTCGGTTCTTATGAATGACTTCCCCGTTTCCCACATTTAACAACTACGCAAAACGAGGGTCTGACAAGGTTGCTGGTTGGGGGGGGCGCGGGCTGTGGGAGGATTTTTAATGGCTGCAAGAGACTTAGCCGATTTTTTGGGAGGTGTAGGAGGGAGGGATGTTTCTCGCTGTGGGGGTGTTTCCTGTGGGTGACTCTGGTTGTACGTCCTGGACCCTGAAAAAATCAGACTCGCTGAGTTCTGGACCCTGACATTTCAGACTACAAAAATTTCGGCTGAAGGCCCTTCATGTCAACTTATACATATTATCTATGTAGAAGTTATAGGCTAGACTGAGGTATGCTTCTAGTGAGTACAACCAACTAGTATTTGTTCTAGGTTTCCACCTCTAGTAATCATTCGTTTCTACGTTAACATGGTATCACGCTTAGGTTAGGATCCCCCCGCCTACCGCTTCCGCCCGTCGCGCCTCCCTGCTCGGCCTGCCGTGTCCTCTCGGGCCCTGTGTCTTCTGCTCGCCTGCGCTGGGACGCCTAGCTGCTGCCCTACTGGAGAGTGCTGCCGCTGTGTCCCCGCGCCGCTGTGCTCCTGTGCCGCTGAGGAGCTGTGCTGCTGTGCCGCTGTGTCGCTGAGGAGCTGTGCCGCTGACCCTGCACGATGGCTGACTTTGTGCTCCGCCTGGACGCTGAGGGCCACGCCGTTGACTTCGCCGCCTGGCTCTCCGATCTCCGCCGCCAGCTTACAGGTCAGCGCCAGGATGGCCACTCTCTGGTTGTCCATGCTGATGGCTTGCTCCCCCGTCCCCCTGCACCTACTCCCCTCCCTGCTGACCCCTCCTCTGATGACCGTGAGGCTTTCTCTACTGCTGCGCTGGCCTGTGCGGTCTGGGACTCACGCGATGCAGTAGCTCAGGTTGCTATTAGTCACGCCCTCCCTGTGTCTGAGCGCTCGCGCTTTGCTACTGTTGAAACGGCCAAAGCTTATTTAGACGCCGTTATTGCTCGCTATTCCACCCCTGCCTCCGCTTCTGCTGGCCGCTTGCTCTTTCCGATGCTGTTCCCAGACCTGGCTGCCTTCCCTACTGTCGCAGACTTTGCCACTCATTTGCGTGCCCTAGAGACTCGCTATCGCACTGCCAGCACTGCTGCTCAGCTCACTGCGCTCCCCCCTCCTTTCTGCATGACGCTCTATTTTATCGCTATGCGCCTGCCAGACCGCCTCGCTAGTGCTCGCGACCACTTTCTTAGCCAGCACCCGGGTGACCTCACCCTGACCGCCTTTGTCGACACCCTCACTGAGATCGAGACTCGCCAGCGCACTATCGCTCAGTCGAGCGGTGCGCCGGCAGTCTCTATCTTTCACGGCTGTGCCCCATCCCAGTGCACGTTCACTGACGTTTCGGCTGCGGTCGCCACGGCGACCCCTCTTACCGAGACGGCTGCTGCTGTCCACCCGCAGCAGCGCTCGCGTCGCGGTGGCCGTGGCCGCCAGGGAGGTAGGGGTGGTGACGCAGGTGGTAGTGGTCGTGGTGGTGGTGACGGTAGTCCGCCTGAGGGGACTACCACCGGTGGGCAGGAGCAGCAGCCCCAGCAGCAGCAGGACCAGCCCCAGCCGCAGCCGCCGTCCCAGCAGCACCCGCCGCAGCCGTGGGCTCGTCTCCCGCCTGGTTGGCCCGGCACCTCCGGAGGCGGTGGCCGTGGTGGCGGCCCGCGCAGCTTGGCGTCTACCAGCGGCTCCAGTGCTGTGACCTGCCAGTACCAGCTTCAGACCGGGCCTCTCCGCGGCACTCTGTGCCGCCGCCCGCACCCGACCGCCCGCTGTTTCCGCCGCCTCGACGATCTTTTTCGTCGTCGCTTTGGCCCGGCCCCGGACCTCCCTGACTGGCACAGCCTACTCCGCCAGGGCGTGCCGATCTTTGAGTTAGACATGGATCAGATAGGTGCTGCTTTGCATGCTTTGTATGCTGACGCTTCTAGTGTTGCTGTATCTTACTACCCTGTGTACTCTAGTTTAGGTGTTTCACCCTTGTGTAGCTTAGCTTCCCCTGCTGCGACAGGCGTAGGACTGCCTAGGTTGCCTAGTCTAGTCGCTGCACCGGCTCCGTCCCCGGCCTCCGCCACTGCGTCGCTGTCCTTCACTCTCGACTCTGGTGCTTCTGCCTGCTTCTTCCGCGACCGTTCCACGCTCACGCCGCTTGCTGCACCTGCTGTTGTCTCTCTCGCTGACCCCTCTGCGGGTCCGGTCGTCGTGCGCAGTTCTACGTCCCTTCCTTGTCCGGCAGTTCCCTCGGGCTCCCTTACTGGCCTCCACGTTCCCTCGTTCTCCAGGAACCTGGTTGGTGTCGGCTGTCTCCAGGACCTCGGCGTCACCACCACGTTCCCCGGGCACGAGCGGTTCGCTGTCTGTTCTGAGGCTGTCTCAGGTTCCCCCCTTGCGACGTTCCCCCGGGACCCGGTGTCCGGTCTGTTTACCCTACACACCGCTTCCCCCCCGGTTGGTGCGTCCTCCCAGGTCGCTGCAGCTTGCTCGTGTCGGTCCCTCACTCACCCCTCCCTTCTCTGGCACCACCGCATAGGTCACCCTGCTCTCCCGCGTCTGCGTCACATGTCCCAGCACGGTCTTGTCTTAGGTCTCCCCGCGTCGCTCCCTGCCCTTCCTCCCTCGACTGCGCCACCGTGCACGCCTTGCGTCGAGGGTCGGCTCCGCCGTGCTCCTCACTCCTCCTCGCTGCGTCCTGCTACTGCCCCCCTTCAGACCCTGCACTTGGACGTTTGGGGCCCTGCCCCCGTCCCCGGACCGCGCGGTGAGCGCTACTTCCTTGTGCTCGTCGACGACTACACGCGCTACACCACGGTGTTTCCCCTGGAGCGGAAGGCCGACGTGCCCGACGTTCTTCTCCCGTGGGTTGTGGCTGCGCGTCTCCACCGCGGTCTCCCCGTGTTGTGTCCCCACTCCGACCGTGGCGGCGAGTTCGCCTCTGGTCGGCTTGGACAGTTCTGTCGTGCGGAGGGCATCACCCAGTCGTACACGTTGCCGGACTCGCCACAGCAGAATGGGGTTGCTGAGCGCCGCATCGGCTTGGTCATGGAGGTCGCCCGTACCTCCATGATCCATGCCGATGCCCCCCATTTTCTGTGGCCGTTCGCTGTTCGCTACGCGGCTCACCAGCTTAACCTGTGGCCACGCTCCCAGCGGCCGCAGGTTTCGCCGACCCTCCTTTGGACCGGGTCCCCCGGTGACGCGTCTGCGTTCCACGTCTGGGGCTGCCTTGCTCACGTTCGTGCCTCTGGCACGGACAAGCTCACTGCCCGCACTGTCCCCTGTGTCTTCCTCGGTTTCCCCCTGGACTCGTCTGACTGGCTTTTCTACCACCCGCCGTCTCACCGCTTCCTCCACTCTCGTGACGTCACCTTTGACGAGTCCGTCTCCTTCTACCGCCGCTTCCCTCACCGAGGTCTCCCAGTTGCCCCCCCCCTTTTCCTTGCTCCCTCTCCCCCGGTAGCCCCTGCCCCTCTCCCGCCTCGTTCTGCCCCGTCTGGTGTCTCCCACGTCACTCCCCTCCCGTCGGTTGTCCCCGTTGAGGAGTCTGCTGACTCTGGTGGTACCCCCGGTCCGTCCTTGCCGCGTCCCCCTTCCCCGGTGCCTCCGCCCCCACTGTCGCAGTCGCCGACCCCGCTGCTGCCGCCGTCGCCGCCGCAGCCGTCGCCGCTGTCGTCGCCGCCGCCGCCGCTGTCGCTGCCGCAGCCGTCGCCGCTGTCGCCGCCGCCGCAGCCGTTGCCGCCACTGCCGCCGCTGCTCTCGGCCCCTGGGGGTGCTGGTGTGGAGGAGGGTGTTCGTCCTGCAGCTTCTGGGGGTGCCGCTGGTGTTGGAGGGGGTTCTCGCTCTGGGGGTGTTGGTTCTGGGGGTGCTGCTGTTGAGTGTTCTGCCGACGGTCGTTCTGCCTCTGCTGGTCCGAGAGTTCCGGCCCAGCCGTCGTTGCCGCCGCAGCAGCCGTCGCCGTCGGTTTCCGCTCTCCGCCTGCTCGGCCTTCCCTCCCCGGACCGCGCGCCGGTGTCTCCCCCACCGCCTCCTGACCTTCCTGTCTACGGTCCTGTGTTCCCGCCGCCAGACTCGTCTCCGGCCTGTCTTCCTCCTCGTTCCCCTCCTGTGTCTCCTCCGCTGTCCCCTGACCCTACCCCTCCGTCTCACGTTTGGGCTCGCCGTCCCTCCCGTGCTCGTCCCGTCTCTCCTGTCCTGCCCACCCACCCTATGTTGCTCCGTTCCCACTCGTCTCGTCCTCCCCTCCTCCCGTCCCCTCCTCCCTCGTCCCTTGCTGTTGCACCTCCTCCGTTCTCTGACTACCTCCGTTCTGCTCGTCCCCTTGTCCCTCGGGTCCTTGCCTCTCTTGTTACCGACCCTACTGTTCCTGTCTCGCGCCTTGACGCGCTTGGCGCTGCTGTCGCTGACTTCGCTTCTACCCGCCGCCTTGACTACGCTACCGCTCTGGTCTCTGACCCTGCCCGTCCTCCGTCCGTCGGGGGTGCTCCTGCCCTTGGCAGTGACGTCCTAGAGGACAGGCAGTACGAGCTGGCTTTCCTTTCCGAGGCTGCTCCCCATCTCTGCTCCATGCTGTTAGTCCCTGAGGGTGACCCAGACGCCTTCGACATCCCGACCCCTCGCACCTACGCTGAGGCCACCTCGGGACCTTGGGCCTCTCAGTGGATAGCTGCCATGGAGCAGGAGATGGCATCTTGGAGGTCCACCGGCACTTACGTCGACGCAGTTCCCCCGCCTGGGGTGAACGTAGTCGATGGTCGGTGGCTCTTCAAGGTGAAGCGCCCCCCTGGAGAGCCGCCTGTCTTCAAGGCGCGCTACGTGGCCAGAGGTTTCAGTCAGCGCGAGGGGGTGGACTTCTTCCAGACCTTCGCCCCGACCCCGAAGATGACCACTCTTCGGGCGCTGCTACACGTAGCAGCACAGCGTGACTACGAGCTTCACTCCCTCGACTTCTCTACTGCCTTTCTTCAGGGCAGCCTACACGAGCAGGTCTACCTGCGCCGACCACAGGGCTTCACTGGTACCTTCCCTTCTGGGACCCAGTGGCTTCTCAGGCGCCCGGTCTACGGCCTGCGTCAGGCTCCCCGCGAGTGGCACGACACGCTACGTGCCACGTTAGCAGACCTGCAGTTCTTTCCGTCCTCTGCTGACCCTTCACTGTTTGTGCGTTCCGGCCAGACTCCGTTCTACATCCTTGTCTACGTAGACGACCTGGTCTTCGCTACTCCTGACAGGGACGCACTGGCCTCTGTGAAGGCTGAGCTGCTGAAGAGACACACCTGCACTGACCTTGGAGAGCTGCGTCGCTATCTTGGCCTGGAGATCTCTAGGGACAGAGCAGCACGCACCATCACTCTGACCCAGTCACACTTGGTGCGTCAGGTCCTTCAGAGGTTCGGTCTTCAGTTCTCCTCTGCACAGCCCACACCTCTACCCGTAGACCATGGGCTCTCTGCTCCCGTTCCTGAGGAGCCAGTAGAGCCCAGTGGCCCCTACGCAGAGCTGGTGGGTTGCCTCATGTACCTGATGACTTGCACTCGCCCAGATCTCGCATACCCTCTCAGCATCCTGGCTCGCTTTGTGGCTACAGGCAGAAACCGACCTCAGCACTGGTCTGCCGCTAAGAGGGTTTTGCGTTATCTTGCTAGTACATCAGGCATGGGGTTAGTGCTAGGAGGACGCAGGCCAGTGGTCCTTACTGGGCACACAGACGCTTCTTGGGCAGACGACGCTGAGACGCTCAGGTCGTCGCAGGGCTACTGTTTCAGCCTTGGTTCGGGTGCTATCTCTTGGAGATCCACTCGCTCGTCGTCTGTGAGGCTGAGATCTACGCTGGTGCCATGGCGGCACAGGAGCTCCGCTGGCTGACCTTCTTGCTCATAGACTTAGGTGAGCGGCCTAGCTCTGCCCCGGTCCTGTACGCTGACAACAGGGCCATGATACTCCTGTGTCAGGAGCCTCGGCTTGAGGGCAGAGCGAAGCATATCCAGCTGCGGTACTTCCTCCTGCGCGAGCTACAGCAGCGCCGCCAGGCCCGCGTAGTTCACTTGGCCTCAGGTGCCAACACAGCTGATATCTTTACTAAGGCGCTTGCGCCTAAAGATCATCAGCGGCACTGTGTACAGCTTGGTCTTGTTCCTGTAGCTGCTCCCCTGTTAGGATCCTGATTGTGTACTCTCTATTATATATGCTTGTCAGACTGGCCTTGTGGCCTTACCTCCAGTGGCTGGACTAGTAGTGCCACCCTGGCTTGCTTCAGTTTTGGTTGTATTCTTGCTGACTGGTCTCCAGACCCCTGCCTCAGTGGTTGGACTAGTAGTGCCGCCCTGAGCTGTTTGCTTCTTGTTTAGTTTCACCCCTTGTCTAGCCTAGGGGGTGTGTCAACTTATACATATTATCTATGTAGAAGTTATAGGCTAGACTGAGGTATGCTTCTAGTGAGCACAACCAACTAGTATTTGTTCTAGGTTTCCACCTCTAGTAATCATTCGTTTCTACGTTAACACTTCATACCCTTTTTTTTTTTTTTTTGGGTTGGCTCAGAGTGCCTTTTTTTGAAACGTCAACCCTGGTACTAACATTCGGGAAAATGTTTTAAAAAAAAATATGAATAATTAGTAACAAAAAATACAGATTGTGATTCGATTTGGAAAGGAGTTTTGCTGTAAAGGAGACAAGCTTCTTCACATTCTCGCAGGTCTGATGAACCTGCCACCTAGTCTCATTCTCATTTCTATTCTTTGATTGCTCCCACTTTCCTAGTACATCCATGTACTACTCACTATGAGGGTGCTGTATCATTGAGATATGAACTATGACGACTGCACTGCACACTCCTCTGAAAGTCGAGTCACAATATGTGCATTATACAATTGTGCTGCGTAACCTAGCATGGAAATAAGAAGTCCTAACATAATATAATATTATTTATAAATATAATGTTCAATACATAGTTGTACATTGTGGTGACACTTCACATTGAACCATGCATTGGATTACACATCTGTGCTAAACCATGAAGGGGATAAATGGCATTGCAGTGAAGACAAATTCACAATAGATGAAAAGGGTCGATGCTCATGAAAGCAAAGGTTTCCTCGCATCAGTCTCAGGAATTATGTGAACTGTTGAGGCAGTTTTGGTGCACGAGGCAGCACAGCAAGCTGTAGACCTCATGCAACGAATGGCGAAGTAAACGGGCAGCGCCGCGAAAACAAAGGCGAGGGACAGAAGAGACGGAACGAGCTGGGTGACGAGGGATGAGATGACAAGGTACCTGTTAGTGATTGGGAGGAACCAAAGAAAGGGGAAAGTGGAGGAGAAGTGCAGGTGGTGAGTGAGGGATATGGGAAGCACGGGACGGGATGAGCTGGGTGACTAGGGGCGAGATGACAAGGTACCTGTTGGCGATTGGAGGGGTCCAAGTATGGAGGCGTGAACGAAAGAAGTGGAAGGTGTGGGCGGTGAGTGTGAGTGAGGGGTAAGGGAAGCATAGGACCACTTCAGCTGAGTGGTGGGGAGGGACGAGATGACAAGGTACCTGTTGGTGAGCAACGAGGAGTGAAAAAAAGGAGCTATAGATGGTGAGTGAAGAGAGGAATTTGTAGGTGGTGCGTGAGGGGTATGGGAAGCATAGGAGGGGATGGACTGGGGGCGGGGTGTGATGGTATGGGAGGGTACGATGGTATGGGAGGGTATGATTGTATGGGGGTATGATTGTATGAGGGTATGATTGTATGGGGGTATGATTGTATGAGGGTATGATTATACGAGGGCATGATTGTATGAGGGCATGATTGTATGAGAATACGCTTGCGTGTGGGTATGCTTGCGTGTGGGTATGCTTGCGTGTGGGTACGCTTGCGTGTGGGTACGCTTGCGTGTGGGTATGCTTGCGTGTGGGTACGCTTGCGTGTGGGTGTGCTTGCGTGTGGGTGTGCTTGCGTGTGGGTACGCTTGCGTGTGGGTGTGCTTGCGTGTGGGTGTGCTTGCGTGTGGGTATGCTTGCGTGAGGGTATCTTGAGGCATGGGTAGCACGTGGACGCAACAATGACGATGATGCCGGGAAGAGGATAGAGGATGGGCTTGTTTGGGCGGGGTAGGTCGGGCAGGTCCCACCGGAGCTTGATGAGGGAATCTCGAGTCGGCTCAAAGGGTATGAGGGTGATGTTGTAAGAGGGTGATATTGTAAGAGGGTGATATTGTAAGAGGGTGATATTGCAAGAGGGTATTGTTGTAAGAGGGTGACGCACGTGGAGGCTACAACGACGATGATGCCGGGGAGCGGATAGAGGCTGGCCTTGTACGGGCGGGGTAGGTCGGGCAGGTCCCACCGGAGCTTGATGAGGGACGCTCCCACAAGGCCATAGAACATCCATGCAGCGATGCCAAAATAATCAATCAACTGAATGTAAGGGAGTAGGGGACAGAGAATTGGCAAGGGAACGCAGAGGGACAGGGTCAGCAGGTGAATGTATTTGGTAAGCAAACACAAGGCTGTGGAACATCCAAGCAGCGATGCCGCAATAGTCGATGTACTGAGAATGTGCTAGCAACGGAGGAGGTTGGGTGGGTTTTGGAGATGGTTGGCTGAAGATGCAACTTGTTTTTCGGAAAGGGAAAAGGTAGCACCTGGCAACTTCACAAAAAAAAATCATAACTTGAAAACACGCTTCCAGACAGCATACTTGTCTTAACACAAATCATTTCATGGATATTTCTTTAACATGTTTTACTTATATCCTGTCTTCTACAAAAGTGGCACTCTTACACTTGCCCCTTCACCTGACCTGTACCTTCACAAAAAGTGCTGTTTCACACTATACCTGTACCTTCGTAAAGAACGGTCTGTTTCGCGCTATACCCATACGTTCTGTTTCTCCCTATACCTGTACATTTGCAAAAACGTTCTGTTTCGTACTATGGTTGTCAGAGAGGAGCTCGTTTACCTCTCACTGTTGGGTCTACCTTATGGTCTGGTTCCGGAAATCGGTAGAGTTGGAAGTGTGTGTACAAAACGTTCTGTTTCGCACTATACCTGTACATTTGTAAGAACCTCTCTGTTTCGTACTACACCTGTACATTTGTAAAAACCTTTGTGTTTCGTACTATACCTGTACATTTGTAAAAACCTTTGTGTTTCTATACCTGTACATTTGTAAAAACCTTTGTGTTTCGTACTATACCTGTACGTTTGTAAAAACCTTTGTGTTTCGTACTATACCTGTACATTTGTAAAAACATTTGTGTTTCGTACTATACCTTCTCCAGATGATTTGCCGCAACGAAGACAACGACTGCTATCCATCCGCCCTGAAGGTGAAAGGAAGGCCGTGGGGATGGTCGTAATGAAGCACAAAGAAAAGTACATTTCGTATTGCATAGAAGTAAATAAAATTTTGTGAAGCTTCGCCCTAAGAAGAGAGGGGGGAGAGGGAGGAAATAGTAGAGGAGTAGGGAGACGTGTGGGTGCAAGGAGACGACTTTTGAGGCGCCTCAAAAGTGTTCAGAGGCGGAAGATTGGAAGAGTGAGGAATAGGGCGATCGAGGTGCCAACAAGGAGCATGCAGAGGTGTGTGAAATCGTGAATCCAGACGATACAGCACTAAGAAAAGAGAATGGAGGGGTTTGGTGCGGTGGAAGAGGAGAATGGAACGGTGGGGGGAGTACTCACAGTGGCGATAAGTGAGGCGTAGGGTGCGCCTCCAGAAGTGACTCCGCTGAGGAACGAGAAGAGCTGGCCGTCCCTTGCCTTGGCGTACTGCAGGTTGTGCAGACGAATAAAGAGAGTCAAAAGGCGAAAACACAGTCAAACTGCAGAGCGAACGAGTACGATAGGGTAGGGGAGGAGTCGGGGAGAAGTGACCCCACTGAGGAACGAGAAGAGCTGGCCCTCCCCTGCCTTGGCATACTGCAGTTGACGCAGAGAGTGGGAGCAGGAGCAAAAGGTGAGATAAGGTAGAGGCAAAGCCAGGCACAAGTGAAGTGAGCGCAATGGGGAAAGAGAAGAGCCGGCTGTCCCTAGCCTGGCATACTGGACAAGGCATTGGGAGGATTTCTTTTGAGGCGCTTAAAAAATAGTCTCAAAAACTATTTTTAGGCGCCTAAAAAATAGGCATACTGGACAGGGGATTGGGAGGAGAGTGGGGAGGGACATGGAGATAAAACCATTGATTCGTAAGAAAACGCCTTCCAACAGAAGTTTCTATAAGTGAGCTGATCTTAGCAATGCACACTTCTGCATCCAGTTTGACGAGTCCACTTATTACGGAGCCCAGAAGTCTACCCCCTTTGAAGTCGGTCGTTCCAAATCTCGAGGTTTGCATCTGCCAATCTAACGGTCACTTTCCCGCCTAACCAACTGCCAAAAGTTCGCCAATCCAACAGTCGCTAAGACCAAGCATTTTCGGGCCATCGTCACAAGACTAGCGAGTGGCCTTTGCGCAACGCAGCAGCGTCCCATCCGCTATTCCCTTGGAGTTTTCCCATCCCATCCTATCGACGACTGCATTTGGACGTTGTCCAGCCGCGCGCACTGACTCGGAACTTCGCACACACTGAGACTTCGCAATCGGCAGAAGATTAGCGAGCGATAGACGACCAATGAGGTAATTGTGCAGTAGACAGTAAGGGATTGACTTGCAAATGACAGTTTAAAGGAGTGCTAAAAGGTGCTCAAGATGTGCCACATCAGCAGCTTCGAGCAAGTTCAGAGCCACGAGGAAGGCAAAAAAAGCGCCACGTGGATCGGCTCACTAATAACGCATTGTGCCAAGATCCCAGGTCCCTCGAAGCGAAAAAAAGGCTGCTAGGTTTGTCACTTACAAAGAAGCGCGCGTGGCATAAAAGAGTAGCGTTCGCAGCACCGAGCACGTTAAGAGCCACAAGGAAGGCGATGAATCGGCCAGAGGGAGGGCCGAAGACAGCTTCGACTGCCTCCACGGCCACCACTTCTGACTTGCCCACGGCTGAGGTTATAGAAGGGGTGATGCCGTGGGAGTTGGCAAAGGGGAACGAGGAGGGTGACGAAGAGGCCAGAGGGAGGGCGGGGCGAATACACAGGTTCAATTGCTTCCACTGCCACCACTTCTGACTTGCCCACGGCTGAGGGGAAGAGTAAAGGAGCGAGGGAAGGGGGGAAGAGGAGGAGGAGTAGGGAAGAGAAAGAAGAGCAAGGCCATGACGCGGCCAGAGGGGACTTTTGAGTCGACTCAAAAGTCACCTCGTTACAATGTCACACAGCACTTTCGCTTCGGGGGAAGAGGAGGAGGAGTAGGGAAGAGAAAGAAGAGCAAGGCCATGACGCGGCCAGCGGGAGGGCCGGATTACCGCTTCGACTGCGTCTACCGCCACCACCTCTGACTTACCCACACACGGCTGAGGCGAGTGAAGGGGCAGGGAAGGGTTTGGCGGGGTAGAGGGCATGGTTCTAAAAGCGATGAAACGCGAGGAAACGCGAGGAAACGCGAGGAAACGCGAGGAAACGGAGGGAGGGAATAATGTCCCCACTGCTAACAATTCTGACTTTCTGACAGGTGAGGTGAGATTGGTGGAGGGTGAAAAGGGTGGGGAAGGGAGGGAGGGGCTACGGATTGAAGGCAAAGAAGCAACCGGAGGGAGGGCCGAATGCCGCCTCAACCTTCCCGTTTCAAGGCATTGACACGGGAAAGCACAACACGGGTCTCCAACGATTGCGAATCCGTGTTTTGAGAATTCGTGTTTTGAGAATTCGCAGGAGCGATCGAAGCATGAGGTGTTATGTTTGTGGATCGAAGCATAAGGTGTCGCAGAAAACACGGATCCACAATCGTGAGGTGAGGGCATGGAAACAGCAGAGAAGTACTGAAGGAGCATGTGCGTGGCTACTACAGCACGCAAAGCAGGAGATGTTTTCGAGAATTCTCGAAAACAGCCGCAGAGAAGTACAGAAGAAGCATGTGCGTGGCTACTAAGCAAGTACCCAAAGCAGGAGATGGACTCGTGGTAGGCAGGAATGTATCTGCCAGGGGCAGGATGCAGAAATATTTGATTTTGCAGGGTGTTTTTGAGAATTGTAAAAAACACCCTGCAAAATCAAGGAGATGGACTCGTGGTAGGCAGGAACGTACCTGCCAGGGGTAGGATGCAGAAGTAGGCGGAGTTGACTGCAAGCTGATGAAGTGGTGGTTCGATGTGGTTTGATTCGGCCCCGTGCGGTTTCAAGCGGTTCCATCCAGGCAGGGTTCATGCGAGAGAACACAGATGTGAGGGCGTAAGAAGCAGATCGGCACAGAAGGCGGGATACGAAGCAAGCACATAGACATGCAGGTGCAGCGCTTTATGAGGCGCCTCAAAAATCGGGATACGAAGCAAGCACATAGACATGCAGGTGCAGCGCTACAGATTTGGAGGGGAAATTGAAGTGTGAAAGCACATTTATTCATAATGTGTTCCTGAATCAATCAAGCAGGAAAGTTACTTACACAGATGCCGACGGCAGTGAGCATGCCGAATGACAGCGAGCGAGGGAGGTCCTTCTTGGGGTTCTTGAGCTCCTCTGATAGATAGCCCAGGCAGTTCCTGAGGGGTGTGCAGTGGAAAGTGGGGAGCAATTGATGCAGGGCCTTGCACCTCCCTCCTAGGGTTCTTGAGCTCCTCTGAGAGACAGCCCAGTAAGTTCCTGATGGATGGGAGGAGGGAGACGGGTAGCGGGGGATGGGTAGTGTGGGATGGGAGGAGGGAGACGGGTAGCGGGGGATGGGTAGTGTGGGATGGGTGGAGGGAGATGGGTAATGGAAGGCGACGAGGAATTGGCGCAGTGCCTTTTGCCTCCCTCCTGGGTTTTCTGAGCTCTTCTGAGAGATGGCCTAGGCAGTTCCTGACACAATCCTTATCCGCGTTATAAGCAGACTCACCAGCCGTCAAACGCCCAGACAGCGGCCACCAAGCCGGCCCCAGCCCTGCTCCAGTTGTAACTCGAGATGGGTGGGAGCGGCTGAGAGAAGTTTGTAGCGGCTACAGATGTGCCGTGGAGGGCGACGAAGATGGGAGCACACGCCACGACTGCTGCGATGAGGAGAGCTTTGGTGACTGTCAGAATGTTCTGCACCAACGCCCCTGCCTTCACTCCTGCAGAAAGGGAGTGGGGTGGGCAGGTGTGGGGGGTAATGGTGAAGATCGGCGCACAGGCCTCCACAGCTGCGATCAGAAGGGCTTTGGTGACCGTTCGAATGTTCTGCACCAACGCCCCTGCCTTCACGCCTGGATAATGAGGGAGAGAAGGCAGGAGGGGAAAGATGGCAGGAGGAGGAAGTTTGGCTACAGAGGTGCCGTGGAGGGTGATGAAGATGGGCGCGTGGGCCGCCACAGCTGCGATCAGAAGGGCTTTGGTGATTGTTAGAATGTTCTGCACCAACGCCCCTGCCTTCACGCCTGTAGAAAGGGAGTGGGGTGGGCAGGTGCGAGGGGTGATGGTGAAGATGGGAGAACAGGCCTCCTCCACAGCTGCGATCAGAAGGGCTTTGGCCGCGTGGAGGGCTTTGGCTGTTAGAATGCGCTGCATCAACGCCCCTGCCTTCACTCCTGGAGGTGGAGGAGGGCAAATGGGAGACTGGGGGAAAATGGGGGGAGGAGGATGAGATGGGATGGGAGGAAGTTCGCAGCGGCTACAGAGGTGCCGTGGAGGGCGATGAAGACGGGCCTACAGGCCACCACCGCCGCAATCAGGAGAGCCTTGGTAACTGTTAGGATGCTCTGCACCAACGCCCCTGCCTTCACTCCTGCATTCAGAGGGGGAAGAGGGAGGGAGAGGGGGGGAGAGGTGGGAAAAGGGGGGAGGAGGGGAGAGGGGGGGGAGGAGGAGGGTTGTAGCGGGTACGGAGGTGCCGTGAAGTGCGATGAAGATGTGAGCACAGGCCACCGCTGCTGTGATCAGCAGCGCCTTGGTAACTGTCAGAATGTTCTGCCCCAACGCCCTTGCCTTCACTCCTGCAAAGGGGTGGGTGGGTGTGTTGGGAGAGAGAGGGGGGCAAGGGAGGCTGCTTTGGTGACCGTCAGAGTGTTCTGCCCCAACGCCCCTGCCTTCACTCCTGCAGCAAGGGGGGGTGGACGGCTCAGCAGGTTAGTTAGAGAGAGGGGGGACAGTTGAGCAGCGCAGTTGATGGCGGTGAGGGAGGGGGATGGCTCCACCACACACATAACTAGTGAGAGAGGGGGGACAGCATACCTGCGCAGTTGATGGCGGTGAGCAGGAGCGTGAAGGAGCAGCCAACGATTGGGAGGGCGAGGGAGGGGGATGGCTCCACCACACACATAACTAGTGAGAGAGGGGGACAGCATACCTGTGCAGTTGATGGCGGTGAGCAGGAGCGTGAAGGAGCAGCCAACGATTGGGAGGGCGAGGGAGGGGGATGGCTCCACCACACACATAACTAGTGAGAGAGGGGGGACAGCATACCTGCGCAGTTGATGGCGGTGAGCAGGAGCGTGAAGGAGCAGCCGATGCTTGGGAGGGAGAGGGAAGGGGATGGCTCTACCACACACACAATCAGTGCAGTTGATGGCGGCGAGCAGCTGCGTGAAGGAGCAGTGCAAGGTGTGAGCAAGGATGGGCTTACCAGTTCAGTTGATGGCGGCGAGCAGCTGCGTGAAGGAGCAGGCAAGGTGTGAGAGGGAGAGCAGAAGCAGCACAGTGGAAGAGTGAGAGTGCGAGTCGAGAGAGTATGAGTGTGGGGGCGTGAGAGAGGTGGAGAGCTCACCAGCGCAGTTGATGGCGGTGAGCAGCAGGGTGAAGGAGCAGCCGATGATCCGCACTCCCAGCTCCATCTGCTCCTGGCTGGCGCCCTGCATACCGGGGAGCTGATGGGAGAAAGGGAAGAGAGGGGGGGAGGCGCGAGAGAGATGAGAGGGAGATGAGAGGGAGATGAGAGAGAGATGAGAGAGAGATGAGAGAGAGATGAGAGAGAGAGATGAGAGAGAGATGAGAGAGAGATGAGAGGGATGATGAGTGAGAGATGAGAGAGATGATGAGAGAGAGATGAGAGGGAGATGAGAGAGAGATGAGAGAGATGATGAGAGAGAGATGAGAGAGATGATGAGAGAGAGATGAGAGAGATGATGAGAGAGAGATGAGAGAGAGATGAGAGAGAGATGAGAGAGAGATGAGAGAGAGATGAGAGAGAGATGAGAGAGAGATGAGAGAGAGATGAGAGAGAGATGAGAGAGATGATGAGGGAGATGATGAGAGAGAGATTATGAGAGAGAGATGAGAGATGATGAGAGAGATGATGATGAGAGATGATGAGAGAGATGATGAGAGAGATGATGAGAGAGATGATGAGAGAGATGATGAGAGAGAGATGAGAGAGAGATGAGAGAGAGATGAGAGAGAGATGAGAGAGAGATGAGAGAGAGATGAGAGGGAGATGAGAGAGAGATGAGAAAGAGATGAAAGAGAGATGAGAGGGAGATGAGAGAGAGATGAGAAAGAGATGAAAGAGAGATGAGAGGGAGATGAGAGAGATGATGAGAGAGATGATGGGAGAGAGATAAGAGGGAGATGAGAGAGATGATGAGAGAGATGATGAGGGAGATGATGAGAGAGAGATTATGAGAGAGAGATGAGAGATGATGAGAGAGATGATGATGAGAGATGATGAGGGAGATGATGAGAGTGGGGGAACATGAAGGCAGGGGGGTACTTAGAGGCGCCTCACACCACGCGTCTATTTGCTTGCACCTTGCTCGCCTGAGAGCTGAGGGGAGAAAGGAAGGGGGCAGGAGGGCAGGGAGGTTGTTTATGGATGTGACTAGGCGGATGCGATGAAGGATGTGATTAAAAAGAATGTGAGAGGAAGTGAGCTCACCAGAGTGATAGTGCATTGGGCGAATGTGACTATAAGGATGGCGATGCTGTCCCCAGTAGAGACAAAGAGCAACCACATGAAGACAAAAGAAAGGAGATCCCTGAACGCCAGCTGGATGTGACAGTAAAGGAGCTTACCAGAGCAATCGTGTATATGGCGAATGTGACTATAAGGATGGCAATGAGATGACACCTCTGGTAGACACACAGGGGAACACCCAAATGAAGACAAAGGAGACGAACGCCTGCTGGATGTGACTATATGGAAGCGCTTACCAAAGCTATAGTGTATCGAGCGAATGTGACAATAAGGATGGCAATCCCTCCCCCAGTGGAGACGAAGAAGAACATCCACATAAAGACAAACGAGAGGAGGTCCCCGAACGCCAGCTGGATGTACTCCCCGTCGCCGCCCGCGTGCGGTATGGAGCTGCCCAGCTCAGCATAAACCTGCCACGTCAGAACGAGGATGTCAGATGGAAACGCCAGGGAAGAATGCTTAGGTGGGCTGTGTCATCACGGCCCTGTGATAGGCCAGCTAGTCTGGGAGTAGGTAGAGCATGCCGCGTAGAGGGGGTGGGTAGCATGGGTATGGCCCGAAGGGGGTGTGGGTAGCATGGGTATGGCCCGAAGGGGGTGTGGGTAGCATGAGTATGGCACGAAGGGGGTGTGGGTAGCATGGGTATGGCCCGAAGGGGGTGTGGGTAGCATGGGTATGGCCCGAAGGGGGTGTGGGTAGCATGGGTATGGCCCGAAGGGGGTGTGGGTAGCATGAGTATGGCCCGAAGGGGGTGTGGGTAGCATGGGTATGGCCCGAAGGGGGTGTGGGTAGCATGGATATGGCCCGAAGGGGGTGTGGGTAGCATGGGTATGGCCCGAAGGGGGTGTGGGTAGCATGGGTATGGCCCGAAGGGGGTGTGGGTAGCATGGGTATGGCCCGAAGGGGGTGTGGGTAGCATGGGTATGGCGCGTAGAGGGAGTAGGTAGCATGAATGAGAGGGAGTAGGGAGAGAAATGAGGAATTGTTTTCTACCGCGGAAACCAGAAAGAAAGACTATTTTTGAGGCGCCTAATTTTTTTTTCTACCGCGGAAACCAGAAAGAAGGTACTGGAATGGCCGAAAACAAAGCGAGTCCATCAACAGCAGGAATAGAATAGGCGATGACGCAAGCGCAGAGCCTCACGATACTGTTTATATGCGTTATCAGACGTCTCAAAACCCGTCACAACACATCAAAACAGATTCACCTCGCAGCAGGAATATGCAACAGCGCCAGCGCAGAGCCACACAATAAGTGTGTAATCGCGTAATAAGGCGTCTTAAAACGCGTTATTCACCTCGCAGCAGGAGTACGCCACGATCCCACCACAGAGCCACACGGTAGTGCATATACGCGTTATTAGACGTCTCAAAGCGCGTCACAACACGTCATAACAGATTCACCTCACAGCAGGAGTAAGCTCATATCCGACGCCAGTGCAGAGCCATACCACGAGCGCGGAAATCGGCGCCCCCACGGAATCTATGAGCACCACTCCGCCTGGCCTCAAAACACACTTGGCACGACTCGTGCCGGTTCGGAACCCCTACCTCGCAGCAGGAGTAAGCCACGACGCCGGCGCAGAGCCATACGATGAGCGCGGAGAGCGGCACCCCTCCCGGGGAAAAGAGGGGATGGGGGGCGCATTTAGGAAGGACCAGGCATCAGGAGTGAGCGCGGAGAGCGGCACTCCCCCGGAGTCCACGAGCACCAGCACGCTGCACCTGGACTCAAAATACGACTGGATCTGGCACAACCTTTGCTGGTTCGGAACCCCTACCTCGCTGTTATGTCGTGCTGCGGCATACCTCGCAGCAGGAGTAAGCCACGACGCCAGCGCAGAGCCACACGATGAGCGCGGAGAGCGGCACTCCCCCGGAGTCCACGAGCACCACGCCTGGCGTGGCGAATATTCCGCTGCCCACCACCACGCCGAGCACCATGCTGTGGTGAAGGGAGGGTAATGGGGAGCGGATAAGGAGACGACTTTTGAGGCGCCTCAAAAACCATGCTGTGGTGAAGGGAGGGTGATGGGGAGCGGAGTTGTGCAGGATCAGGCATCAGAAGATCGGCACTCCCCCGGAATCTGGCATCAGGGTCGACTCAAGGATCAGGCATCAGAAGATCGGCACTCCCCCGGAATCTGGCATCAGGGTCGACTCAAGGGTCGACTCAAGGATCAGGCATCAGAAGATCGGCACTCCCCCGGAATCTATGAGCACCACGGCAGGCATGGCGAATATGCCGCTGCCCACCACCACGCCGAGCACCATGCTGGTTGTGTTGCATGGGTCTACGGGCCCCCATTTTTGGGACGGAGGGGAATGGGAGGAGCAAGAGGAAGAAGTCAATCCCTGGGAGGATGAAAGCAGGGACTAGACCGCACCCTCCCATTCGGAGGGATTGACTTCATTAGGAAAGCAGGGATGAAAGCAGGGACCGCACCCTCCCATTCGGAGTCCACTAGCACCACACCACTCCCGGCGTGGCGAATATGCCGCTGCCCACCACTACCCCGAGGACCATAATGGATTTTGGGGGGAGAGAGAAAGTGGGGGGGGGAGGGGGGGGGGGGGGGAGGGAGGGGGATGGGAGTGGGGGTGTTTTTGAAAGTACAGGTAGATGCAATATGTGAGTTGGGAGGAAAAACTGATAAGTTTTGAGACGCACGAGACGCCATCTACGCGATTCAGCGATAGTTTCAGTCCTCGCTTTACCCCGTGATTCCCGCTGCCTGTATAGCTTATATCGAGTACAAATGAGAAGTTATTCTGAAAGTGCGACACGTACCACACGCCATCGACGACAGTCAGAGACCGTTTCAGCCCTCGCTTCTCCCCGTGATGGCCACCGCCTGCTTCCGCCGTCGAAGCCGGTGCCGCAGCCGCATTATCTCCGCCGCGAGAGGCGGTGGGGAGCAGCGGCGCGGTGAGAGCGGTGGGGTCGTTGCACGCCGTGGATGGGATGAACACGCAGGAATGGCTCATGGTGGTGCGGATGGTTTTTCTAGTCGGCTCGAAAATGGCAGTGCTGTGAGTGAAAGGAAAGGAAAGATTGTTACGATGACGTCGCGCGAATGAGACCACAATGGTTGTAGTAGTACTCTGAGAAGGTTTCGACGCTCTCTCTAGGGCTCTGGTGGAGTGAACTGGCGAGGGTGTCAAGAGGTCAGAAGAGGAAGCCTAGGTTGAGACTTGTCGACTTAGATACTGGAAGATGGTGTGGAGGAAAAGCGCCTAAAAAATGTATGACTGTGTGCAACTGAGATGGGAAGGGGGATTTTGAGATGGATAGGGGAGGGAGAGCGGGAGGGAGGGGTTGGGTAGGTGGTTGGAAAATTCGAGTCGCTTGGGCTCTCAACCAAATAAGCGAACCTGGGCGAAATTCATGAGATGGGTGTGAGTGTCCAGGATTGAACATCTGCTCAGTTTCCCATCCGCCGAATCACGGTTGATTGTCGAGGTTCAACTGGAATTGTCGCAGATTAATAAGCAGAACCACTCACGTAGTTTAGCCAAAACCTGGTAGCCAGTGTGCCAGACTTTTCCTTGGCCGCAGTCATTGCTAAGTCAAACCCATATTAATTCGTAAGTCCCAGAAGGAACGGGAATTAGCTAGCTACACTTAGCAAAGTACAGTCAGAGCGAAGTCGTGGTTACACCGATGCAACTGAAGTCGCATGGTGGTGGCAGATTCGGCTTTCCCTTGCCCCGCCGCGAAAATTGGCGGAACCTTTTCGAGCCCATTGGCTTGCTGGTTGCCGAGTGTACTGCTGCTAGTCAATTGTGTCGTTGAGTCGATGTCAGAAAGGATGGAGGCGCCTACAGGTAGATTCCACGAACCGGAGCTCTCCGCGCGATGGGAGAGCCAATGGGGACGGATGATCTCCCATCGTGTTGCCCAATCCCCTAGGCAGTTTGGCTGACCTGGCTCCAGCACTTCAACTGCTTTCCAGCGGGGCACAGCTGGGACTGCTGCAAGATCTTTGGAGCTGGTTACAACGAAACATTCGATGTTGCCATGTACAGTGAAACTTTTAGCACATCGGATAGCACAACGTTGCTATAGTGAAGGACAAGTGCTTAGTGAATGGATGATGCAGCACGAACGCACGCCCAAACCAGGGAGCAGTTTGGGAGGCCTCATTGGCCAATCGCTCTCGAACCTTGAGGTTTGCGGCCTGAATCGCTAGGTCCGGTGAAGGAGGCTTAGACTGCTCGGCTCGGAATCTCTAACCACAAGCCAAGTTACATTTCGCCCAGCCCTCTCGTCAACTGTCGCAGAATGTCTCATCCCCTCGTTTTCCTCGCCTTCGGTTGCATAATTTCGCTCTCGCAGAGATAAGTTCGCCAATGCTTGACCAGACTAGTTTCTTCAAGTTAGTTGCCTCAGATCAGGCTCCCTTGACTACTTGCTGACAAGATATTTAGACGACTAATCCTGGGTGCGAGAAATGACATAGCACTTGAGACCTATCTTGTCGAGTGTATGAGTGGCCTTTAGAAGCCATACGTCGAGCCATGGCGTCAGGTCGTAATTCCCGCGGCGAACCTGAACAGTCTTCTGAAGTACGCGTGCCGCTTATTCAACCCGCCGGAAAACCCTCCGTCATTACTACCTCGTCGACCAATGGCATCGCGCCAAGTTCTTCCTGTCTGCCGCGTCTTGCGGCGCCGAGTGGCGTAGGTGATCTTAATTGCGACGCAGGCGACGCGGGGAATAGAGAGGATTATCCACCGTCGGATGAGGATGAGATCGTCGGGCCGCACTCCCCGCGTGCGGGGCTGAAACGGTCACTCACCGTGGTCGACGGTATCAGGTGCGGTGCATTGAAATGCTTGATGCGACAATTGCGTGCAGCGTGAAGGTAGGTCCGTGACTTGGTCGGACCGAACTCCCCGCGCGCGGGGCTGAAACGGTCGCTCACCGTGGTCGACGGTGTCAGGTACTGACCTGTGATATGTGAAGGGCGAGGGCTATACTGCCGCGGGGAAGAGAGAGGGTTACCCACCCTCGGATGAGGATGCGATCGTCTGTTTTCGAGTCGATCCAAAAGGCGACGCGGGGAATAGAGAGGATTATCCCCCGGTCGGATGAGGATGAGATCGTCGGGCCGCACTCGCCGCGCGCGGGGCTGAAACGGTCGCTCATCGTGGTCGACGGGATCAGATGCGACGCGCTGACGCGTAATGTGACCTTGGTGTGATGCGACGTTGGTGTGATGCGACGTTGGTGTGATGCGACGTCGGTGTGATGCGACGTCGATGTGATGCGACGTCGATGTGATGCGACGTCGGTGTGATGCGACGTCGATGTGATGCGACGTTGATGTGATGCGACGTCGATGTGATGCGACGTCGATGTGATGCGACGTTGATGTGAGGTGACGGTAGGCATCGTGTGAAAGTGGGTGCAAGTTGACGTGCAGGTGTATATGAAAGTAGGTCATGACAAATTTTGAGGCGCCTCAAAAATCGATGTGAGGTGACGAGGGTAGGCATCGTGTGAAAGTAGGTGCAAGTTGGCGTGTAGTAGGTGTCCTATGAAAGTTGGTCATGCCACCTCAGCACTCGCCGCGCACGGGGCTGAAACGGTCGCTCAACGTGGTCGAAGGGATCAGGTGCGGTTCACTGGATATATAGTGCGGTTCAATCGCGTGAAGTGTGAAGGTAGGTCCGTGACTTGCTTTGCGGTGGCACCTCAGCGGCACACGCCGCGCGCGGCGCTGAAACGGAGGAAGCTCTCCGTGGCCGACAAGCTCAGGTGCGACGCAGCGAAGCGTAATGTGACGGTAGGTGTGATGTGGTGTAGGTGTGATGTGGTGTAAGTGTGATGTGAAAGTAGGTCACGACTTAGTTTTCAGACACCTCAGGACTCGCCGCGCTCAGGGTTCCAATGATCGCTTACCGTGGTTGACGGGATCAGGTGCGGTTCATTGGACGTCCAATGCAACAATACATGCGACAGTACATGCGACAGTACATGCGACAATACGTGCGAGCGACAATACATGCGACAATACATGTGACACTACGTGCGACAATACGTGCGACAATACATGCGACAATACTTGCGACAGTACATGTGACAATACGTGCGACAATACATGCAATGTGAAGGTAGGTCCGTGACTTGGTTTGGTTCAAGGCAGCTTGGTGTAACCCTCAAAGTTTTGAAGCTTTGATGGGTCCTAAGTCATACCATTTCACTCTTGGACACCTCTTCACCAGTTTTTTATGCGCCTCAAAAATGCCCCCAAAGATTTGAAGCGTTGACGGGTCCAAAGACATTTTCACTCTCAGATAGGATACCTCTTCACCAGCATGGTGCTGGGCGTGGTGGTGGTGGGCAGCGGCATATTCGCTACGCCTGGTGTTGTGCTGCTGAAGGGGGGGTGTGAACACCTAAGTTTCTCCACGCCTCTGTTTATACCTCTCCTACGTGGCATGGTCCTCGGGGTGGCCGTGGGCAGGGGCATATTCGCCACGCCCCGCGTTGTGCTGCTGCACACGTCTCAGAGCACTTCTCATGTCGCACGTGCGAACCCCCCTCTCCCCTCCTTCCCACAGCATGCTGCTGGGCGTGGTGGTGGGCAGCGGCATATTCGCCACGCCAGGCATTGTGCTGCTGGATGGTGTGTGGACACCCATGCTTCTCCCCCTGTTCTCCCCTGTTCCCCCTCTCAATGCAGCATGCTGCTGGGCGTGGTGGTGGGCAGCGGCATATTCGCCACGCCCGGCGTTGTGCTGCTGGACTCCAATGGCTCACCGCTGCTGGCGCTGCTGCTGTGGCTGGTGGCGGGGATAGTGGGGTATGCGTGCTGCGAGGTGAGAAGGGCGAGGGAGGGGGGGGAGGGAGGAGAATGAGGTAAGGGTGGTGGAGTTGAAACGCTGATGGTTCGCCCCTGCTGGCGCTGCTGCTGTGGCTTGGGGCTAGGATAGTGGAGTATGCGTGCTGCGAGGTGAGGCAGGGGGAAGGAGTGTCCGAGGGACGGTGGGGGGGAGGCGGGGATCAAGGATGGGGAGGGTGAGGGCGGTTACAGCTCACTGCTTCTGGCTCTGCTGCTGTGGCTGGTGGCTGTACTCAGGGGTATGCATGTTGCGAGGTTGGAAGGGGTTGTTCGTGTGGGAGGGAGGGGGGGGGAGGGAGGAAGAGGCGGGTCACAAGGATGGGGAGGGTAAGAGGGTCAATCAACTGCTCACTGCTGCTGACGTGGATTGCTCACTGGTGCCGGGGATTGTGGCATGTGCTTGCTGTGAGGTGAGTCATGGAAGGGGGGGGCGGGAAGGGGGAGGAGAGGGAAAGAAGGGGGAGGAGAGGGAAAGAAGGGGGAGGAGAGGGAAAGAAGGGGGAGGAGAGGGAAAAGAAGGGGGAGGAGAGGGGAAAGAAGGGGGAGGAGAGGGGAAAGAAGGGGGAGGAGAGGGGAAGAAGGGGTCTCAAGGATGGGAGGGTGAGGGGGGGTCACAGCTCGCCGCTGCAGGTGTTGCTGTGGCTGGTGACTGGAATCTTGGGATGTGCTTGCAGTGAGGTGAGGCTGAAAAGGAGGGCTAGGAGATTATTTTGTGTAAAGGAGACGTATGGGATCATTACACCCTCAAAATCGAGGGTGTGACTGCTTTCCACCATGCAAAGAGGGTGACTACACCCTCTAAATCGACTCACTAAACCTATAACTCGAGCCACTACACCATTTCAATTCAATCATGCCGTGCCATGCCATTCTCCAGACTATTTCAAACAACCCATGCCATCCATCCCATGCCATCATGCCATGCCATCATGCCATGCCATCGTACCATGCCATCAGGTGTATGTGGAGCTTGGGAGCTTTGGGGGTCTCACAATGCGCCTCATTACACATTGTCTCACTCCATTCTCTTCCATTCAAACCTCAACCCATCTGTGTGCCATCAGGTGTATGCGGAGCTCGGGAGTTTCATCCCCCATGCAGGAGGCGATGGGGAATACCTACAGGTACAGTAAACCTTACACTATTAAGTTCACTTAAAGAAGTAACCCTTGCACTTCTGCTCGACCTAGAGCACGGCAAAGCCAGTCCAGACACCAGGCCAGCCCGAAATATCCGTACCCCTTTCTTGTTAGTATATGGAAGGTGATTCTCTAGTCGACTCAACAATCACCCTCACTTGTATCACCTTTAATTTAGTTTCCCTGCAACTGCGTTCTACCCGCGCCCATTTAACTTAGTTTCCCTTTAACAACCATGCCCGTCGTTTCCCGCGCCCATTCCATCTTCGCCAGGTGGCCTTTGGAGAGCTCGCTTCGTTTGTCTTCATGTGGATGTTCTTTTTTGTCTCTACTGGCGGAGCCCTGTCGATCTTAGTCGTCACGTTTGCACGATACGCTGTGGCATTGGTGAGGGGAGGATGGTGATGGTGGTGAGGGGATGATGGAGAGGGAAGGAATGGTGAGGGGAGGATGGAGGCAATGAGCTAGTGATGAGGGTTTGGTACGATGTCAATCCTCGTTGTCACGCTCGCTCAATACGCTGTGGCACTGGTGAGCAAAGGAGGGTGGAGCTTAGGTTGCGGTTGAATGGTGACTTGAGGCATCGAAAGAGGGAGATCCCTCCATCCTCGTTGTATTGTCACATTTGCACAATATGCTGTCACCACCCTGGTGAGAAGGGAATGGGGGTGGGGTGCTGCTGCAATAGTGTGGTGTGGGGAATACGATTTACATAGATATATATATATATTAAGAAGGAAAAGGTGCTTACATGGATAAAGCATGATTGCAGTGGTCCGTTTTTTGTTGGTTTTTTTTTCATTTGTTTCTTCCAACTCCAGTTACCAGCACAGCATGCCCCTCCCCACTCTTCTCGTCTTGCTCTCTCCCTGTTCCAACTCCAGTTACCAGGAGCGGCAGCAGGAGGGGAGGCGGAGATGGAAGTGATGGTGATGGTGGTGGGAGGGGGGTGCGTGGTGCTGCTTACTCTTATCAACTGCTGTGGTAAGTGTGAGAGTGAGTGAGTGAGAGTGAGTGAGTGAGAGGCATTGGAAGAGTGGGCGAGCGAGTGCGTGTGTGTGTGTGAGTGAGCGAGTGCGTGTGAACGAATGAGCTGTGGCTAAGTAGTTTTGTTCGAGACATCTCAGAACTAAAATGCTTAACCACGAGAATGAGCCGGTGAGAGAATGAGCCGGGGTGCATGGAAGCCGGTACGTGGCTGCAGAACCTGCTCTCTCTCTCCAAGTCTCTCCTCATCGCCATCATTCTCTCAGCCGCCCCAGCCTTCCTTGTTCTCCACTCTTTGCTCTCCCCTCCGTGCTCTCAATTGGTCCTTTGTATTAGATAGTGGGTGGTACAAGCATGGCAATGGACAGCACAAGACAGGTGAGACCTTACAACCAAGGCCAGAGGACCTTAAGAGTCCCCCAGCACTGGTTCTAACACATGCAGCAGGTCGCCCACGGGGAGTGGGGCCGCTTGGTCTTCCAGGGGCCACTCCTCAGCGGCAAAGGCCTCGTTGATTTTCTTGTTGAGGGCCACAGCTTGACCCCTCTGCAGAGTCACCGACCATCGTTGTTGTCGGTACTCATGAAACAGCGTCCCGGCCTCCCGTGAGGTGGGTGCCGCCTGGTTGTGCTTCCTAGCCGCCAGCTCCGCAGACTGCTTGAGGAAGCCGAAGACGCCGGGCGAGGAGAGGCCGTACGTCTCCGCCGCCATCGCGAAGAAGCCGACCCACTCGGCGCGGGCCGGCGGGCGGTACTTGTTTTTCCTTGTTGCGAGCAGCAATCCGAGCCACCCAGCCAGTCCCCCTGCGAGCCAGCGGGTCATCCTGGGAGATTGGGTCGGTCACGGTGACGTCGCAGAGCCACACCGCCCCCGAGTCCGGGTGGCGGATGGCGACGTCCGCCCAGAGATTGGAGGTGCGGGTCAAGAGGTTGGTCTCTTATCGGGTGATGAACCCCGCCTCGAGAGAGATACGAGCGCATTCGTCCCCGCCTCCCTGCTCTCCCTTTCCCCCTTTCCCCTAAATCCTCCAGGAGTGGAAGCAGGCACGTGGCTGCAGAACCTCCTCTCTCTCTCCAAGACTCTCCTCATCGCCATCATCCTCTCAGCCGCCCCAGCCTTCCTGCTCCTGCAAGGCACCTCTGTTGCTGCGGCCAACCTGCTTCAGCCGCTCCCCCCTCTGGAGTCGCTTGACTGCAGCAGGCTGGGCGCCGGGCTGGTGGCTGCCATATGGGCCTTCGATGGGTGGTGAGTGCAGGGGTGGTTGGGTGGAAACTAGGCGGGTAACCACGTGGTAACTGCAACCTGCTTCAGCCGCTCCCCCTCTGGAGTCGCTTGACTGCAGCAGGCTTGGGGCTGGGCTGGTGGCTGCCGTATGGGCCTTCGACGGATGGTGAGGGGGAGAGGGTTGACAGGTAAGCAGAATGAATTTTTGAGGTATTGAGGGTCACCTAAAAAACAGAATGGTAGCAAGTAGGGGAGCAGAAGGTGTAACACGACTTTCAGGGGAGCTGCCTGGGCTTTCTCTCAGAGGAGCTCTAGGACCCAAGGAGGGACAGCTGACCAGTCACGAGCCCCTGCCCCCAGCTTGCTACCGACTCCCCTCCTCGTTCTCAACCCCCCGCTATGGAACAGCGCCTTAATGCACCCACAGAGGGACATCCCGATGCGTCCTCATTCCTCGTTCAACCCTTGCCGAGCCCCCGTGCAATCCCCTCCCTCTCCTTCGCCAAAGGAAGGAACTGCCTGGGCTTTCTCTGTGAGGGTCTGAAAGACCCAAAGAGCGACGGCTGACCAGCTCCCAGCTTGCTACCGACCAACCCCCCTCCTTGTTCTCAACCCCCCTCCTTGTTCTCAACCCCCCTCCTTGTTCTCAACCCCCCTCCTTGTTCTCAACCCCTTTCATCAACCCACCCTTCCCCTGCTGCACTCACCGCGCAGGAACTGCCTTGGCTTTCTCTCAGAGGAGCTCGAGGACCCAAAGAGCAAGCATTCCTGGCATTGCGCCCCACTCATTCCCCGTTCATTCCTTGTCAAACCCTCGAGTCGTGGCGTCTCCTTTCCTTCCTTGGTGTATTTCCTCCTTTCCTCCCTTTCCTTGAGTCGACTCAAAATACACCTCGTGTCGTGGCGTCTCCTTTCCTCCCTTGGTGTATTTCCTCCTTTCCTCCCTTTCCTTGAGTCAACTCAAAATACACCTCGTGTCGTGGCGTCTCCTTTCCTCCCTTGGTCGACTCAAAATACACCTCGTGTCGGGGCGTCTCCTTTCCTCCCTTGGCCCCTCAGGAACTGCCTGGGCTTTCTCTCAGAGGAGCTCAAGGACCCAAAGAGGGACCTGCCTCGGTCTTTGTCAATTGGCATGCTGGTTGCCGTTGTTATCTGTGTGAGTGGTCTGATGAGTATGGCTATCTTATACTGAGTATGGCTATCTTATACTGAGTATGGCTATCTTATACTGAGTAGGGCTATCTTATATGGGTTATGTTTTTATTGAATGTGCTATGCATTGGCATGCTGGTTGCTGTTGTCATCTGTGTGAGTGGTTGGATGAGTATGTCTGTATTGAGTATGCTTGCATTGATTACAATGCTGTGCATGGGGCATGCGATGCTGTGCATGCGGCATGCGATGCTCGTTGCTTTTGTCATCTGTGTGAGTGGTCCGTTGAGTATAGCTACCTTATAATGAGAATTCGATCTTATACTGAGTAAAGCTATCTTCTATGGGTTATGCTTATATTGACTGTGCTGTGCATTGGCATGCTGGTTGATGTCGACATCTCTGTGAGTGGTCCGGTGAGTATGGCTATGCTATCTTCTATGGGATATAGCTATCTTCTATGGGGTATAGCTATCTCATATGGGGCTTGCTTATATTGAGTGTGCTGTGCATGTCGTCATCTGTGTGCGTGGCCCAGTGAGAATGGCTAAGCTATCTTCTATGGGGTATTCCTACATTGAGTATGACCGTGACGTCAATTTAGTGTGCTTCTATGAGGTATGCTTATCCCGAATGCGGTTGTACAGAGTATGACATTGATTGAGTGTGCCCTTCTTTTTTGCCCCATCACTGCACAGTGTCTCTCACTCACAACGTCACTAAACCAATCCCTACCATTTCATTCTCCTTCCATCCACCCCAACCCCATCCCCCCCCCCCCCCCGCTTCCCTCCCCTCCCCCCCCTCCCTGCCTCGACCCCTTCTCCTCTGTCATCCCCCTCCAGCTGTCTGCCAACGTGGCAGATGCATATCTCTGCATCCATTTCCCCTTCCCACCAATATCCCCCCTCCCCCTTTTACCCTCTCTTCCACGGCCACCCCTTCCCCTCGTCTTCCACCCCTCTTCTCTTCTGCTGTCCGCCAACGGGGCACATCTGTGCATCCATTTCCCCTTCCCAGCAATCCCTCCCCCCCTTTCCTCTCTCCCACGACCATCCCTTCCTCTCTTCCTCCATTCCCCTGCAGCTGTCCGCCAACGTGGCATATCTCTGCATCCTTCCCGCTCAAGGTGAGTGATTGTAACAAGGTAACATTTGATTTGACTTAAAAAGTCACCTCGTTATGTGAGTAGATGTAACATGATGATTATCTCGACACCCCTGGCACGACGCTCTATCTGCCAACGTGGCATCTCTGCATCCTTCCCGCTCAAGGTGAGGAAACATGTGGCACTGTTACATCACTGTGATAATGATCCTGCACAGCCTTTTTGCATATAATGTTTGCTTAATGCATTTTGTAAATAGTATATGTATAGCATTTGCGTGTAACATTCGGGAAACAATTTCGCAATCAGTACTCGCATATAGCATATTGCAATAATAGTGTCGTACAGCCTTCACATAAATCATTTTGCATGTAAAAAAGTATACGAATGAATGAAACCTTCGGATATGGTTTGTTTTTGCATTCGGTCATCAGCATTTTTTGCCTCTAGGATCCATCCATATATGGCGTATTTGGTATATGGGTGTTCTTCTCCTGCCACCTTCCCCCATTCCCCAGCTATTGGCGAGTTCCAAGTGGTGGCGGTGGACTCAGTGCCGCTGAACTTCGGCCCAGCAGCAGGCAGCCAGGCAGGCTGGGGTTTGGCTCTGCCTTCCACCAGGATTCTCACATGCTGGGTGTGCTTCTTCTGCCTCCTTCCCCCGCTCCCCAGCTATCGGCGAGTCCCAGGTGGTGGCAGTGGATTCAGTGGCACTGGTGTTTGGCCCGGCAGCGGGCAGGCTGGTGGCCCTGCTGGTGGCTCATTTCCATCTGGGTTTTCTAAACCGCGCTGCTCTTCTCTCTTTTTCCCTCTCCCCCATTCCCCAGCTATTGGCAAGTCCCAGGTGGTGGAGGTAGACTCAGTGGCGCTGGTGTTCGGCCCAGCAGTGGGCGTGCTGGGGTTTGGCTCTGCCTTCCACCAGGATTCTCACAAGCTCGGTGTGCTTCTTCTGCCTCCTTCCCCCATTTCCCAGCTATCAGCGAGTCCCAGGTGGTGGCTGTGGATTCAGTGGCGCTGGTGTTCGGCCCAGCAGCAGGCCGGCTGGTGGCTCTGCTGGTGGCGTTCAACGTGCTGGGGTCCGCCAATGGGACGCTGCTGTGCAACGCGAGATACTTTGTGAGTGGGGATGGAAGAGGTCTCTGCTTTCATATGTCTCTCACAGCAGTCGTTGCAGCACCAGTAGCAGGCCGGCTGGTGGCTCTGCTGGTGGCGTTCAATGTGTTGGCGTCCGCCAATGGAACCCTGCTGTGCAACGCAAGATACTTTGTGAGTTGCAACAATATATCTCTCATGTGCCGTGCCTCTCACATGCCTCTCACGTGCCTCTCTTGTGCCTTGCTTCTCACGTGCCTCTCACAGCAGCAGCAGCAGCAGCAGCAGCAGCAGCAGTAGGCAGACTGGTGGTTCTGCTGGTGGCTGTGCTAGTGGCGTTCAACGTGTTGGGGTCGGCCAACGGCACTCTACTTAACAGTACCCCGTGGCAAGGGAGGGCCGCCTCCCTTGCTTCCATTTTCACTCTCCTCTCTCTCCGCCACCTTCTCACCCTTTCTCGCCCCTCTCACTCACCCCTTCCTGGTTTACTGTGTGCCATGGCAAGGGAGGGCCGCCTCCCTCGCTTCTTTGGGGCGATCACCTCCCTCCGGCTCAAACATACTCCTCCACTCTCACCAACCTATACAAACCCCCAACCACCCCCCCTCCCTCCCCCATCTCTCTACATATCGCCTTCCCACAGTACGCCATGGCACGGGAGGGCAAGCTCCCTCACTTATTTCCAGTCACCTTCCTCTCGCCCCTCTCTCTCCTCCACCCTCACCCCTCTCACACTAAACCCGAAACCCTAAATCCTGCTTAACAGTACGCCATGGCCCGGGAGGGCAAGCTCCCTCGCTTCTTTGGGGCTGTCACTAAAGCGGGTGCTCCCTACGCTGCTCTGTGCCTTATAGTGAGTCTATGCTGCGGAGTGCCTAGTAGTGAGTATATGATGCTCTGTGCCTTATAGTGAGTATATGGTGCTCTGTGCCTTGCCTTATAGTGAGTGTATGCTACTCTGTGCCTTATAGTGAGTATATGATGCTTTGTGCCTTATAGTGAGTGTATGCTACTCTGTGCCTTATAGTGAGTATATGATGCTTTCCCTTATAGTGAGTGTTTGGTGTTTGCTGTGATGCTGTGAGTATCTGATTCTCTGTTCTGTAGAGAGTGTGTGCCGCTCGCTATCAGACTGAGTATCTGCTACTCTTTATGTTATGGTGAGTGTATGATGCATTGTGAGTCTTATAGCGAGCGAGTATATGAGGCTCCTTATAGTTATTTTGCCGCCTCTTTCTTCCATCCTTCCTGGGTGTTTACAGGGTAAGCTGGTTCTTGAGAATAAAATCCCTTCAATCTAGCTTACTGCTTTCTTCCATCCTTCCAGGGTGCTTGGACCATGGTGCTTCTCTTCTTTGCTGCCAATCAGCTTGAGAAGGTGAGACGGATCGATAATAGATAGCACGGGGCACATACACTTATCGACACCTCAACTCTGCAAATCCATGAGTCCCCAGGCCTCAAAACCCCAAGGGTGTTTGGACCAAGGTGCTTCTCTTCTTTACCGCCAATCAGCTCGAGAAGGTGAGACGTCTCAAGACGTGTTAAGTGACTGCCAGTAGCCAACGATGAGACTTTTGAGGCGACTTTGTGTAATGAGTCTGCTTTTTTTAGGCGACTTTGAGATGTCACAAAACCCAACTTCTTACACACGTTTCAAAACGTGAGACATCTCACGATGTAAAATCGACTTCCAGTAGCCAGCCAGTGACGAAGCTTTTGAGTCGACTCAAAAGTCCCTGTGGCACCTCAGCTGCGAAACTTGCCGCGAGCGGCACCTCACCTGCGGGGGCCGCCTCAGCTTACGTCCCGTCCTGTCTGGCTCTAAGCAACATGTGAATGCCGGTCCAATCATGGAGCAGTGGCAGCAACTCCCTTGAAGCTCGCTTTGCAGCCCCACATTATCCCACTCCCTAATGCTCTTCTTCCTTCCTTCCCCGTACAGCTCCTTGACTACTTTGGCATTGCCACGTGGATATTCTACGGAGCGGTAGCAGCAGCTCTTTTTAAGCTCCGATGGGCATTTCCCGACGGCCCAAGGCCGTATGAGGCGCGCTTCTACCCACTGCCTCCCATCATTGCTCTGGTCGCCGCATTGTGAGTGTGCAATGGTTGCTGCTCAGAGTGTGAGTTTGAGTGTGAGTTTGGTATTGAGCTGCGGACACTCCCGATGGCCCGAGGCCTTATGAGGCGCGCTTCTACCCGCCCCCTCCCATCATTGCGCTCGTTGCTGCTGCGTGAGTGTGCTCCCGTTGCTGCTGCTTGAGTGTTTGAGTGTGCGAGTGTCTGAGGGTGCACTACTGAGCTACAGACACTCCCAACGGCCCGATGCCACACCAGATTCGCTTCTACCCGCTTCCTCCCATCGCTGCTTTCGTTGACGTTATGTTTTCCACAGTGTAAGTGTGCTATTACTGTTGTGAAGATGCTCGTGCCATGTAGTCTGATCTGACGTCTCCTCCATTCGTCCCCTTGTGTTGTTTTTATCTTTTTTTATGTTACAGCTTCCTTGTGGTGACATCAATATTCGCTCATCCAGTTCCTTCCGCAGCTTCACTTGCTTTTGTGTTTGTTGCTTTTCCATTATATTATATCAAAAAGTGGTTCCAATGGCAAGGGCAGCCTTCCACCAATCCAATCAATTGGGCACTGTTGCAATAACCGCTATCTTCTGGTTTAATTTTGACTTCGAAATATTCATGTGTGCTTTCCCTTAGCTTCCAAGTTTCAAGTTTAATTTCATGTGGGCACTTTTTTTTTTTTAAACTAGCCAGAAGCATGGCCTTGCACGCTGGCACCAACCGAGTGTGGTAGTATCGGGGATTCTGGACGATCTCTTTCTGGGCTTTGGCTGTCAGCACGGTGCCAAACTCGCCTAATGCTCAATGACACTGTTTTTTGGGTAACTCGATTGGTGGCGAAACCAGCGACACTTCGTGCGACGGAAACTCGCACGTGAACGACGGTTGCTTTCTTGTTGCATCTCTATTGCTCACCCAAGCCAACGCCAGAGACTACTACTACGTGGACTAGGTGAGCTAGTCGCTAAAATTGTACTCCAGGCGAGCCAGTGTCCATATTAGGGATTTCAGATGCAGTTCGTCGACTACGCCTGTTCGAGCCCGAGTAGGTGCGCGCTCGCACCATCTTCTGCGCGAATCTCTCCGCTGGTGGCTCCGGCCGAGAGTTCAGAGTGGCGAAACGCGAAAAAGTCGAGCGCGCGTTGCTGTTGTCTTTCCCCTTCGTTCGCTCAACGCTCAGCTCGTCTTCCGAAGGAGAATGCGAAGTTCGCGAGCCATTTCGCACGGTTGAAGTCCGACGAAGATCCGGAGTCTCGTCCTCCTGACTCTGCCCAAAATCCAAAATCACCGGAGCGATCGGAATGGTGTCGAAACTGCGCCGCCGTGCCTTTTGAGTCGACTCCAAAATCACTGGAGCAATCGGAATGGCGTCGTAACTGCGCGGCCGCGCCGGGCGAGGCGGCACCTCCGCGCCGCTTCGGCCTGAAATCGGCGCGCTGCCAACGGTAACAGCACTACTAGTAGTAGCAGCTCTGCTGATGCTTGTAGCATAATCGCCACTGCTCCGTGGATTATCACCAGTAGCACATGTTCTATCACTGGGAGCACTACTGCTCCTGATAAACCCCTTGAAAAGTCTTGCGTTTCGCTCATTTACAGCCGACGCGCCGCCGTCGTCCGCCTTACGCGGTGCGTCGATTAAGTGGTACGTGACTCCGCGTCGCAGCGGGCGGGTAGAGGGAAGCGGAATCGGCGCGAAGGTGGAAAGCGCGAGGTGGTGTCGCGGGAAGTCGCGCAAGACGTTTGCGACGAGCAGGCTGCCTGCGACGTTGTCGTACAGTCGCGCAGTTCCGTCCGTCAAGACGACGATGACGGGATGCGAGTAACGGTCGACGGGAATCCGACGAGCAGAAGGCTGGGTCGAAGCAGCCTGGGCCTCCACCGTCCCAGGCGGCAGGGCCTGTCGCGAACTGCCACGTGTGCTGTATCCATCACGGCTGACGCGATTCCCACCTTTACCCGACGGCTCTCCCGCCTTTTCCCCGCTTATCCCGCGCCGCAAAGCCAGCTTCCTCTCAGTCACGCTGGGAGGCAGGCAGAGTTGGGGCGGGGTTTCCGGCATTTCAGGAACAGATATTGCTGCTGACGTGGCTTGCTCGCCGCGGCTGTTCCAGCCGCTCATGCTCTGGGTGCGGGAATGGCGGGGATGACTGTTATTTGCGCCGCGATCTGCGGGCCTGGTGTTGTGGTAGCTTTGGCTGCGGTCGAGGCGAGGGATGACGTCATCTTGGTTGCATGCCAAGGTCGGACCTTGTACTCGTCGTGATCCCATGGCGGCGGGACTTACGGGGACTTCACGTAAGCAGTGACTGCTTCGGCAGGCTATGGTATTGTTGGAGGAAGTAAGTTCCTATGCTCCCATGCCAAAGGAATCTCCTCTCACATAACTGTCTGCATTGTTCAAGGGAGGCTTTATCGTCTCGCGACGAGTCGCGACGCATTTGGTCGAGATAAGTTTGATTGGGCACTAGGGCGTTGGCCATTTTTGGCGTCTAGCTCGAATGTGTCGCTACATTGCATTGCCAGATGTGCTGATTTGTTCGCTTCTCAAATGGCGACTTTGGCGGTCCCTAATCCTCTCCTTCCCTCGAACCCCCTTCGCTGTTTGATTGATTCTCCTCCCTCGTCGTGTCTGACTTGTGGGCACAACTGCACAACGGGGCCTGCTGCACAAGGGACTACTGTATTGCGTTGGTGGTAACCCGTTTGGGGGGGTTGAAATTTGAAGACCGCCAAATGAACGCCGAAACAATCATGTTTCACGTCCTTATTATGTTACACATTGCATGCTGCCCTCTGCACAAAAGGACCTCTGTGACCACCACCTGCGACAACGAACTCTGGGAAGTCCTCTCAATACTGCCACGAAGCGAAGAACGACAGGTTACCACGTTCCGTTAGATTTGGGCAAACAGTTGACCGAGCCTGTGGGGGCCATCTGCGAATCCAGGGCAGCATAGCGAGGCGATTCAGCGCGCTACGCCCGCCCCAGCCCAACCTAACCAAACCAAAAAGTGGCCCTTGGCAGTGAGCCTGCCCTGCTGCCTGTGGCTGTGGCGTCCCTGTGCAATCGAAATCACACAAAATGCTGCCATGACAGGTGGATTGGAATTGAACCCCAGGCGCCCGTTGGGGTGGGGAGTCTTGATAACCAAATTTTTGAAGGCAAATCACCAATACATAGAGGGCGTAGTACATTTCGATCGGTTCACTGAATCTGTTCGGGTATTGTTTCGTTAGCGTCGCGAATAGCCTCGTCAACAGGCTGTCGCGAATAGGTGACAGATCTGGAATTTCTAAACCCGCACTCACGAACACCCAGCGTTCGAATAATGTTGCAACTTGACGACATTCGCCGACGTAGACGAAACAAAACTTTGTAACGAGATTCGGCGACGTGAACGAAACGACACTTCGTAATAAACGAAAAACTCTGTTTCGTTCGGGGCAGGATTTGGGGCATTTTTGTGCTACTCGCAGCTGCGACATTTTTTGTTCGCCGAAACCCAGTTTTGTGTCGCGATGTTCGTGTCGAAGGTTTGTTTCCGAAAACAAACACTCGACTGTGAACCTTTACCAAACGAGCGAAAGTTTTGTTCGCTTCAAAAGTAGGATCGTTTTCGAAAACAGAAAAAAGTACCACGCCCTAGCCAGTCACGTGTTACCTCCTAGTATTCATGCCAACACCCTTTGTTTTTATTGAACGTTTAAATCGAAAGTATACAATAACTTCAAGGCTCGAAGTACCTTGAACCTTTCGAGTGGAGAACCCTCGATGTTATGAAATATGAAGTGTCAATGTACTATAACGTGAGAATACAAGGTCGCTATTGCAATGAAGGCACGAGGTTATATAGGAGTTGGCGTACTAGGGCGATAACCTCGCAACGTGGGTAGGTTCGGCAATGTGGCAACAGTGCCGGACGCGACTCGGGGAAGGTTTGAGCCGATAATTGAGGCCGAACGTGACGAATCGAGGAAGTCGGGTGTATACGCTAGCGTACGATTTAGTAAGGAATGGAAATTCCTTACACTACCCCCCCCCCCCCCCTCCTAAAACGAGACCGCGGGCATCGGAAACATTCCGACGCTGATAATACGCTGTTAGAATCGGTTGTGATTCTAGCTTAGCGAGCGGCACCCAGCTGTCGTCTTCGGACGTGCGATCGCGCCAGCGGACGAGAAAATCAACCATCCGACGGTTCAGCTGCGTCGTGACTCGACGGCTGAGAATTTTCAAAGGTTCGGTTGTCGGTTCCTGCAGAGGCGTCAGTTGCGGTACAGCGCGTTGGCGCGCCAAGTCTAACGAACTGGGGACGTAGGGTCGTAAGAGGCTAACGTGGAACGCCGGGTGGTGACGCCAATCAGCCGGGAGTCGGAGGTGAGCCGTGATAGGTGTCACCATATTCGTCACTTGAAAGGGTCCGCAGAATCTGGGCCGGAGTTTGCTCGGGATCGGCAGCCGCAAATTGCGAGTGTCGAGGAGGACGAGATCTCCCACATTGTAAGTGACGTCACGTCAATGGCGATCGGCTTGTCGGCTTGCGACCAGTTTGGCTTTCCGGATGGCCTCGGCTGCTTTTTCTCTGGCGGCGAGAATGTCTTCAACAAATTTCTGGGACCAGGGCACGGGTGTCTCGATATTCGGGATAGAGGGCACCACTGGGTCCTGTCCGTGATTTAGGAAAAACGGGGACTGATGCGTTGTCGCGGAGGGTGCGTTGTTATACGCGAATTCCAGTAGCGGAAGGGATTTCTCCCATGTCTGTGGGTCAGTACAGGTGGTCCGAATGAGTTGCTCCATAGTTTGGTTGACTCGTTCGGTCTGCCCGTCGATGTGTGGGTGGTAGGCAGAGGAAAACTGTAGTTTGGTGCCGAACTGTCCCACAAGTGGCGCCAGAAATTCGATGTGAATTTCGGGTCTTGGTCAGAAATAATTGCGGTGGGCAGTCCGTGCAGTCGAATGACGTTGGCGATGAACAGTTGAACAGTTTGCTCGGCTGTGATTGTCTGTTGGCAGGCGATAAAGTGCGTCATTTTCGTGAGTCGATCGATGACCACGAGGATGGCGTCGTTTCCGCTGGGACCGGCTGGCACTCCTGTCACGTAGTCCATCGTGATGTGTTGCCATGGTCATTCGGGCGGATCCAACGGCTGCAGTAGTCTGGCTGCTCGCTGATGAAAAGATTTCATCATCTGGCAGGCGGTGCAAGAGGACACGTACTTGCGCACGTCGTCAGCCATGTTCGGCCAATAGTAGTTGCGCTGCAACGTCTTCGTAGTTTTGTCGACTCCGAAATGCCCGGAAGTAGGGTTGTCGTGGGATTTGTGTATGAAAAGGGTACGGAGTAAATCGTAGCTGGGTACCCAAATGTAGGAAGTATCGCGCTTATTAAAATAGTGACCAGTGATGGTGGTGTGCTGTTGATGAATAGCGGAGCGGAAGAAAGGGTCGATCTTGTAGCCGTGGTTAAATAGTCCGGTAAGTAATGGGCTGGTCTGGGCGATTAGTATGGCGGTGGTATAGGCAGTAGGTCGGGTCAAGGCATCGGCGATATTGTTGGCGCCCCGTTTGTAGGTGATGGCGTAATGGAAATTCGACTCGAGGAAATCGAGCCATCGGATCTGTCGCGGGCTGAGATTCGGTTGGGCTCGCAGGTACTGTAAGGATTTGTGGTCAGTTCGCACCGTGACGTCAGCGCCTGTCAGGTAGCACCGCCAGGTCTTGAACGCATGGACGATCGCCAAAATTTCCTTGTCGCAGACTGTATAATTTTTTTCCGCGCCCTGCAACTTCCGTGATTCGTAAGCGTCTGGCTATAACCCGTCGACGAAATCCTGTAGGAGAACTGCACCGATGGCGATGTCGCTGGCGTCGGTGATGACTTTGTATGGACGGTCAGGATCGGACATGCGAAGAACGGGCGTCAATGTGAGGGCGATCTTCAGTCGGTCAAATGCAGCTTGCTGCTTCTCTCCCCACAAAAAACAATCGTGATCCTTCAATCAGTCGGTTAGCGGGGCGGATAACCCAGCCATATTGGGTATAAAGCGGCGGACGTAGTTGACAAAACCGAGAAAACTCTGCAATTCCTTGAGGTTGGTCGGCGGTTTCCATTCCTGGATTGTCTTGATTTTCTTGGGGTCGATTTTCACTCCTTCGGTAGAGACGACGTGTCCCAAAAACTCCAACTCCTGCTTAAGAAAGTCGCACTTAGATCCTTTCGTGATGAGGCGATTCTTGTGCAGCAGCGTAAAGACTGCATCAAGATCCTTTAAGTGTTGCTCCCTGCTGCGGGTGTAGATTAGGATGCCGTCGAGGTAGATAATTACGTATTTATCCAAGAGTTCCTTGAAAACGCCGTTCATGGTCATCTGGAATGTCGAGGGCGCGTTCGTGAGGCCAAAGGGCATCACTAGGTATTCGTAACTGCCATAGCAGGTTCGGAAGGCGGTTTTGTGACAATCTTCGGCAGCCACGCGAATTTGATGGTAACCTCATCGCAAATCGATTTTCGAGAAGAACTTGGCTCTGCAAAGTTGGTCGAGTAGATCGTCAGCTCGCGCGATCGGGTAACGGGACTTGATTGTGATCCGGTTGAGGGCGCGGTAGTCGATGCACCTGTGGAATCCTCCATCTTTTTTCGGGGTGAACAGTATCGGGGCGGCGTATGAAGATGTGCTGGGTCGGATAAAACCCTTCGTGAGAAGATAATCCAGTTGCTGCTGCAGTTCTTCCAGTTCCGGTTGGCTGAGCCAAAATTGTCGCTGTACTATCGATTGGGCACTTGGTTCCAGCTCGATGCGATGGTCTTCTGGTCGGCTCGGTGGCAATCCAGCGGGCAGGTCGTCCAGGAAAATCTCGGGTTACTTCCGAATCGGGTCTGCTAAATCCGGAGGAACGACATCGCACAGCTTCGCGATATCTTCGGCTATTGTCGGCGATGTCACCTCGCGAGGATCGACGGGGTACGCTACAGCTCCCGCCTTTATCGCGCTTTGAAAGTTATCGCATGGACTTGGGTGCTTCGCATGCGAGGCCCCGCCCATTTTGGGAGTGTGCGATGGATCCCGTCGAGTTTGATGCTGCAGCCGCCCGTCGTCCAGTCAATCTTCGGGTTGTACCGTCGCAACCAATCCCTTCCCAGCAGCACGTCGCATCCATCGAGCGTAGTCGCCAGCAGCCCCATCCGAAATTTTACGTGCTCCCCGCAGTGGAAACCGACGTTCTCCACTCGTTCCCGTATGGCCAGCGGTGTTCCATCTACTAAGCAGGCGTCAATTTTGGGTAGACACTTAGGTAGGGGAATACCCAATTTTTTAGCCCTAACCAGCTGTATGAGACTGTGACTCGCGCCTCCATCCACGAATATTTTCAGCAACACCCCGTTGACTTTACCCTCCACCAAGACAGGGTGATCAGCAGTTTCGTCCCCCTTATTCATCCGGGTCCGGTCGATTGCAGCAATCGGGATCACGACCCGGTGGGGACTGTGTGGCTTGGACGAAGAAGCCTGCCCGTCAGTAAGGGGCCCAGTACTTACTGACGCGACCCATTTCCTGGTCGCTCCTCCGGCTTCTTCCCCATAGAATTCTGAGCGGCTATGATTTCTGGGCAGTTGCGTCGGATGTGACCCGGTCGGTCACAGTGGTAGCATAGCCCCGTATTTCGCGGAGCAACTGCATAGATATCCACTGCGTCCATCCCTTTTATCGTGACGCGCTGGTATTGTTCTCGAGATTAAAACATTTTTTAATCCGTCAAACGCAGCTTGCTGCTTCATCCCCCCCTGATAATCAACGCCCTTATGAAGTAGGTCAGTTAGTTGCCCAATTAACCCCGCCATGCTGGGAATATACCGACGCACATAATTGACGTACCCCAAAAATGATTGCAACTCCTGGAGGTTGTCGGGGGCTTCCATTCCTGAGTTACCCGAATTTTGTGGGGGTCAATTTTCACGCCTTTTGTCGAAATAACATGCCCCAAAAACTATAGTTCGGGTTTCAAAAACTCGCACTTGGAGCCTTTGGTAATGAGGTGATTTTGCTACAGGCGTTGAAAAACCGCTTCCATGTCCTTTAAGTGTTGTTCCCATGTCGTGCTGTAAATAAGGAAATCATTCAGATAACCTATCACACATTTATCGAGTAGATCTCGGAATACCCCGTTTATCGTCAGCTAGAAAATCGAGGGGGCATTCGTTAACCCGAATGGCATGATAGTGTATTCGTAACTCCCAAAGCAACTACAAAACGCGGTCTTAGGGGGAATCGTCGACGAAGACTCGAATCTGGTGGTAACCGTCGCAAAGGTCGATCTTCTAGAAATAGCGAACGCCTCGCAGCTAGTCAATCAGTTCGTCCGCATGCGGGATTGGGTAGCGAGACTTTATCATAACTTGATTAAGGGCGTGATAGTCAATGCACATTCGGAGGCCCCTATCTTTCTTGGGTATGAACACGACCGGGGCGGCGAACAGGGACGTACTCAGTCAAACGAACCCATTGGTCAGTAAATAGTCTAGCTGGTCTCGTAATTCCTAGAGCTCGGGTTGCGTCAGCCGCCACCGTGTTCGGACAGTTGGCTGCGCGCCTAGTTCAAGTTTGATCCGATGATCTTGAGGGCGTTTCGGTGGTAGGCCAGGTGGCAGATCATCCAGAAAAATATCTGGGAACTGACGAATCAGTTTTTCCAGATCTTTGAGGACTGCTGCCCATAGCTTATCGATGTCGGCCGGTTGATTGTCGTCCGTTGATTCCTTCAGATGGACGGCGTACAGGTCCGCGCCTTTCTTGACCGCGCGTGTCAGCATGATGGCATTGATGCGTGTCGTTATCGGCTCTGCTCCTCGCCAGCTTGGCAGTGTCTGCCGACCAATCACACAATTCACAGTGCATTCACATGTCGTCCAATTGATATGCGGGCTGTGTCACCGAAGCCAATCTCATCTCAGTAACACATTGTAGCTGTCGAGTGTCGTCGCCAACATCGGCGCGCTGAAACCGAAATTGTCACCACACTTCATGCAAACAGTTCGCGCGCGATCGCAATCGCCCGTGGGGTGCCGTTGACCAATTGGGCATCGATCTCGGGCAGACACCGCTCCAGGGGCTAGTTTTTTTTTTTTTTTTTTTTTTGCCATGGGTTGGTGAATCAGGCTATGGCTCGCGCGACCATCGATGAAGATTTTTATGTTTTTTGGCGTTAACCCTTCCTTCTACTAGCACATGGTGATCCTCAAGTTCATCCCCGTTATTCATCTGAGAGCAGTCGATAGCATGTACTGGTACAACTACCCGGTGGAGATGCTGTTTCTTGGGCGATGCAACCGTGTCAGTAGGGGGACTGTTTGCTACTGACGGGAATCTTTTCCCGGCATATCCCCATTGTTGTTTTCCTCTGCTTCCAGTCTGGGCAGTCAGCATATCGGTGACCTGGCTGGTGGTAGTGAAAACACTGTTGCTTCCTGCGATCTTCGTCATTCACCACAATGCCGTTAATCGAGGGCCGTTAATCCTGGCCACGAAAACGATTTCCCTCCCCGGAACCCGATCTCGCATATTTTTTATTGGCGTCGTACAAGTCGGCATTCAATACTGCTTTCTGGAACGTCGCTGGGCGTCGCATTTTCACTTCGTAACGAACGCCGTGTAAGGGTCGCCACCCCAAAAGGGGGGCATGGTGGGGGGAAGGGGGGTGGCGGTGGGGAGGGTGGCGGCGGTGAGGACGGGGAAGATGGTTCAGACGAGGGGACCGAGGCTGGTGCCCTGGAGCAGCCGCAGCAGCAGACGCAGCCTCAGCAGCAGCAGCAGCAGCAGCAGACTCAGCAGCTGCAGCTGCCGCAGCCACCGTAGTAGTCGTTGCAGCAGCAGAAGTCGCCGTGGGGACCCTCGCTGCCATGGTGGACTGGTGGCGCTAGCGGCGGTGGTCTTGGGAGGGGCGGGCGCAGCTCGGTGTCGGGTGGCAGCTCCAACACGGTCACCTGTCAGTACCAGCTTTAGACCGGCCCTCGCCGCAACACTGTCTGCCTCCGGCCCGGCCACACCGCCGACCACTGCTACCGCCGCGTGGACAACCTGTTCCGCCACCACTTCGGTCTTGCGTCGGACCCTTCGGACTGGTACGCCCTGGCTTGTCGTCGTGTGCTAGTCTTTGAGCTTGACATGGATCAGATTAGGAATGCTATGTCTGTCATGTATGCTGATGACACTAGTGTGATTGGACCCTATTACTCGTTGTTGCCTAGCGTAGGTGTGTCCAATGTGTATAGTTTAGGCTCCCCTGCTGCGTCACGCGTAGGACCGTCTGCCTTGTTTAGCCTAGGCTCCACACTACCCCCTCCGTCGGCTGCCGCTAGCGCTTCGCTCTCCTTCACGCTTGACTCTGGTGCATCTACCTACTTCATTCGCGAACACACTTCCCTTACGCCGCTTGCCGCCCCTGCCGCCGTCGCACTTGCAGACCCCTCCTCAGGTCCGGTAGTTGCACGTAGCTCCACCACCCTTCCCTGTCCGGCAGTCCCCTCGGGCACTCTTACATGCCTGCACATCCCCACATTCTCTAGGAACCTAGTTGGTGTCGGCTGTCTTCAGGACCTCGGCGTCACCACTACGTTCTCGGGACACGAGCGGTATGCGGTCTGCTCCTCTGACCACGTTCCCCTGGCACCTTGCGTCAGGCCTGTTTACACTTGACACTCCATCTCCCCCGGTGAGGGCGTCCCCCCAGATAGCCACGGCTTGCTCGTGTCGGTCGCTCACTCACCCGTCACTGCTGTGGCACCACCGCCTAGGTCACCCTGCACTCCCGCGTCTTCGTCACATGTCTCAGCACGGTCTCATCCTAGGTCTCCCTGCGTCGCTCCCTTCCCTCCCTCCCCCGCCTGCGCCGCCATGGACACCCTACGTCGAGGGCTAGCTGCACCATGCACCTCACTCCTCCTCGCTTTGCCATGCCACCGCGCCACTCCAGACCCCGCACCTGGACGTTTGGGGTCTAGCTCCCGTCCCTGGGCAGCTTCAAGAGCGCTACTTCCTGGTGCTTGTCGATGAGTACACGCGCTACACCACGGTCTTTCCCCAAGAGCGGAAGGCCGACGTGCCTGACATTCTTATCCCGTGGGTCGTAGCTGTGCGAGTCCACCGAGGTCTCCCCGTGCTGTGTCTCCACTCCGACCATGGCGGCGAGTTTGCCTGCCGTCGGCTTGGCCGGTTCAGTCGTGTGGAGGGCATCACCCAATCGTACACCATGCAGGACTCCCAACAGCAGAATGGGGCCGCTGAGCGGCGCATTGGCTTGGTCATGGAGGTAGCTCGTACCTCTATGATTCATGCCGGTGCACCCCATTTTCTGTGGCCATTCGTTGTTCGCTACGCCGCTCACCAGCTGAACCTGTGGCCATGTTCTCAGCGGCCGCAGGTCTTACCAACCCTCTTCTGGGCTGGGTCTCTTGGTGATGCGTCTGCGTTCCACGTCTGGGGATGCCTCACTCACGTTCGTGCCTCTGGCACGAACAAGCTCACTGCCCGCACTGTCCCCTGTGTCTTCCTTGGTTTCCCCCTTGACTCGTCTGACTGGCACTTTTACCACCCGCCGTCTCACCGCTTCCTTCACTCGCGTGACGTCACTTTCAACGAGTCTGTCTCCTTTTACCGTCGCTTTCCCCACCGAGGTCTCCCGGTTTCCCCACCCCTGTTTTTGGTACCCACTCCCCCGGTAGCCCCTGCTCCCCTCCCACCCCGTCCTGCTCCATCTGGTGTGTCTCTCGTCACTCCGCTCCCGTCCGGTGTCCCGGTCAAGGAGTCGGCTGACTCTGGTGGCCCCGCGGCACAGTTCCTGCCGCCTGCCTCTCCCCCGGTGTCGCCTCCTCCATCATCGCAGTCGCCGCTGCAGCCGTTGACGCAGTCGCACCAGCAGCAGCCGCCGCTGCCGCAATAGCCACCGCAACCGCCGCAGCAGCAGCAGCCGTCCGTGGACTCTGGGGGAGCTGGCGTTGAGGAGGGTGCTAATCCTGGGGTTCCTGTCGTGGCTTGTTCCGGCAGTCCTGGGGGTGGCACCGGTGCTAGAGAGAGTTCTCGCTCTGAGGGTGCTCGTTCTGGGGGTGCTGGAGTGGAGTGTTTTGGTGGTAGCCATGGTGCAGCTGGCAGTCCACGTGACAGCGTCGAGCAGCAGCAGCAATCGCCGTTGGTGTCCGCCCTTCACGTGCTCGGCCTTCCCTCCCCTAACCGCTCACCTCCGCCTCCCCCGCCGCCTCCTCCCCTTCCTGTCCACGGTCTTGTGTCTCCTCCACCGGACTCGTCCCTGGCCCGTTCCCCACCACGTTCCCCACTTATGTCTCCTCCTCTGTCTCCTGACCAGACACCTCCATCTCACGTCTGGTCGCGCCGTCCCTCTCGTGCTCGTCCTGTCTCTCCTGCTCAGCACTCTCACCCCATGTTGCTTCGTTTTCACGCGTCTTCTCCTCCTCTCCTGCCTTCGTTTCCTCCGTCGTCGCTCGTTATCGCGCCTCCTCTCATGTCTGAATACCTTTGTGCTGCTCGTATTCTTGCTCCTCACATTTTTGCCTCCCTCATTACCAACCCGTCTATTCCTGTCTCGAGTCTTGACGCTCTTGTCACTGCTGTTGCAAACTTTGCCTCTCTCTATCCCCTTGACTACGCCACCGCTCTGGTCTCTGACCCTGTCTGTCCTCCGTCCGTAGGGGGTGCTCCTGCCCTTTGCACTGACAATCTAGAGGACAGGCAGTACGAGCTTGCTTCCTTGTCTGAGGCTTCTCCCCATATCTGTTCCATGCTGCAAGTCCATGAGGGTGACCCAGACGCCTTTGACATCCTGACCCCTCGCACTTACGCTGAGGCGACCTCGGGGCCCTAGGCC